TCCCCAATATACACATTTTTAGGTGCGGTTTTGACTAATTTACACATTTTGCAAGCAATTTCCTCTAATTGAATGCATTTTTTTGTATGTTCATTTCACTAAGGCATGTATTTTTTGCACACTTTCCCCCTAATATATATGCAATTTTGCACATGTTGTTTGGTTGGACAACTGTGCCACAAAATTTGAGGAAATGTAAGTTTCAAAGAATAATTGTGTTTTAGTTTGTGGATTGGATTGAGAAGTGCAAATTAAGTAGTTTCTCCTTAAAATGCAAACAAAACCCAAATTTATCCTCCATCCCTGAGGACATATCCATTGCTCTATAAGATTCCCCCCTAATATTCTTCAGTTTTGGTCACTCTCTGTTTTTGCAAAGTGAGTTACAACTTTCTTCATCTCATCTACCTGTCCAGCAGCTGGTCTTGGACTCCTTAATTTTAGCTCATCATGTGGAGAGAGTGGATTCTTAAACCCATGTTTTTTCCATTCATCATGCTGAGAAATCTCTCTCAAAAGATTAATCTTTGGATGAAGTTGGACTTTAATTTAATCTGCTTGATGGCTTTGGGTGAGTGGAGAGGAGGGCAGGCATGGCAAACAAGGCAATATTCAGGAAGCTCTGCCAGCTCTTGAATGCTTTCAAAACTGCATTATAAAAATGAAAACTCTCTTAGGGCCATTTTCCTGCGGTTGTTGTCTCTTCCTTTTATATGTTGTGGAAATTTAACTGGGCCAGGCTGGCTCATACTTCAAAATAAAATGCTGGTGAAACACAATTTCTCTTGTATCCCATCTGTTAAAGGGGACTCTTCTCTAGTTTCCAGTTTCAATTTTATACCCATCGCTCGGGTTGTCTTTTCAATATTATTTCCAGGAACTTTTCCCTATCTGTGCAGAAAACTGGTTGCTACCCAACCAGAGTTGCACTGAAAGCTCTTCCCTATAGAAATTCAGTTTTGTCCCGAGAGACAACTCTTAGAGACTATCACCACCAACAGAGCTGGTGAAATTCAGAAGAAGAGGTGGGCCGATCCAAGAACACACCTGGTAAAGAGCTTCCTGTGTCAATAAGGGGCGGCGGGAGAAAGACTCAAACCTGCAATGTCGCACATGCTTGAAAGGTATGAGTCAATCCACCGAGCATGTTTCAGATGCAGCAATGTCTATGTTCCTGAAGCCTCTACAATATACCACAAGGATCACAGACAAAGCAACAATCGAGAGCCCAGTGTTCACAAGCTGAACGGGAAGAAACCAGGGGAGAGGGGTCATTTTCTATCTCAAGGGCCGCATTCTCTAATGGGTAATACTCTGAGGGCCACATGCCAGTGATGGGGGAGACCAGAAGCAAAAGCAAACAGAGTAACAGATGTGGTTCTTACCTTTGTACAGTAGGTTATATTTGAGCCATGCAAAAGTCAGAGGTTTCTTCCCTATTACACTGGCAACCAATGAAAACCATTTGTTTTGTTTTGTTTTGTTTTGTTTTGTTTTGTTTTGTTTTGTTTTGTTTTGTTTTGTTTTGTTTTGTTTTGTTTTGTTTTGTTTTGTTTTGTTTTGTTCTGTTCTGTTCTGTTCTGTTCTGTTTTGTTTTGTTTTGTTTTGTTTTGTTTTGTTTGACCTGGTCCTGCTTCTTCTCTGTATCTAAGACGATGATGGTGATGATGATTCCAAATTATTACAAATCAAACCAAATTACTTTAATTTAATACAATTTCTTAAAATCAGGTTTCCTGCTCCCGTTGCAATCCTATGTCCAAGATAGTTCCCCATAGCTGCTTCCTTTCTTATTTAGTCTCCAGTTGACATCCTTCACTTGCCATTAAGCCATTCTTCCAGCTGTCTGCTTTTTCACCTAACAAACACCTACCACAGTTTCATCTTATACGTATATACAGTGGTACCTCGGGTTAAGAACTTAATTCATTCTGGAGGTCCATTCTTAACCTGAAACTGTTCTTAACCTGAAGCACCACTTTAGCTAATGGGGCCTCCTGCTGTCGCCACGCCAGTGCAGCGCGATTTCTGTTCTCATCCTGAAGCAAAGTTCTTAACCCGAGGTACTATTTCTGGGTTAGCGGATTCTGTAACCTGAGGCATCTGTAAAAGTGTCTGTAACCCGAGGTACCACTGTAATCCATTTCATGTGTGTAGTTCTTCATCTAATGTTAAGCAGGGGTCAGCAAACTTTTTCAGCAGGGGGCTGGTCCACTGTCCCTCAGACTTTGTGGGGACAGGACTATATTTAGGGGGGGGGGAGAAATGAACGAATTCCTATACCCCACAAATAACCCAGAGATGCATTTTAAATAAAAGGACACATTCTACTCATGTGAAAACACGCTGATTCCAGGACCGTTCGTGGGCCAGATTGAGAAGGTGATTGGGCCAGATCTGGCCCCCAGGCCTTAGTTTGCCTACCCATGGAGAAGGGCATAGGAGAAGGGCTGGTAAGAAGCAATCCCAGCACCCAACGTGGGATGGTACAAAGTTTGAAAATAAGGACTTCAACCACAAAGGCAGCTGTGCTTCTTTAAAGCCTAACCAGACATGTAATTTTATTATGTACAGTACATGGATTTTATCATCATTTCTATCATTTTGTTGCGCCTGCTGTTTAAAGGTCTGCTTTTATTGCTATTTTTAATGATATTTTTGGTACCATTTAATGTATACCACTTAGAGATTTTATAAATGAAATGCTATAGAAGTCTTGTTATAATGATGATGATGTAGCAACGCCTAGATCTCAGCATTCCACAAGTAGCTTCATATGAAAGTAGAAGTAGAAAGAATTCCTCTTTCTGTCTTTGTGGGGCGGGGGAGAGGTTTATGTATGCAGCATCTCCACTCTCTGGGGGAAACAGCAACTTCAAAACTGCAGCTGCCCTAAAGAATAAATGCTGGGAAGCAGCATAAAAGCCAAGATACAGACTGTAATTAATTGGTCTGCTTTTTAGATGCAAATAAATAACCATGAGTATGAGTCAAGGGGAAATAAACTGCTTGACAGCAGCACTGGACTCCCACAAGCTCAGGCGGGGGAGAAAAATCTTGCTTTTATTTGTGGTAGTTATCTAGGGTTGTCTGTAACAGCTGAGTGGCAAGGAGAAATGCCAGGGGGCAGATCACTTCATCAATACGTCCTCATACTGGGAAAAGCTGCACCCTGGTTTTTTTTGGGGGGGGGGGTTGGCCATCATGCAGCTTTTATAGGCATAGATAATCTAAATACTAAAGTGCCAAAGGCCTCCTTCCTTGCCTTTTTATTAGGAGGCATATTGCTGCTAATGAAAGAGAGGGGCCTCCATTTCAGCATGATGGGATTCAAATTCCTAAATCAGTGGAAAGGGGAATCTCCAGCCCTAATTAATTTTTCCAGGTCTCCCCATGTGGCCCACAAGGCCATTTTGGCCAAGCGATGCCCACAGCTTACAGATGACATCACATATAATATCAGGGGGGGGAGTAAAGACACCGCTGGGACCAATCACCAGCCCCTCCAAAACCCTATGCCATGCACAACACTTTGCAAGCAGCAACCTTTTCGTGTCAGGCCATGGGCTTCTCCACTAAAACCTCGTTTCCACCTGTTCCCAAGCTGTACATACTCAAAGACACATTTTCCCACTCCTCTTGCCGCCCCGCCTGTTTTTTGTCTCTCTTTACTTTCTGCCATAAGTAGTGCTGGGATAGCTCCATTGGTAGAGATGAACCCACAACCTCATCTCAGGGTTGTGGGTTCAAGCCCCACATTGGGCGAAAGATTCCTGCATTGCAGGGGGTTGGACTAGATGACCCTCATGGCCCCTCCCAACTTTACAGTTCTATGATCTATGCAGGAGTGGGAAGAAGGTAGATCTGTACCTAACGGTAGAGACGTGGACAATTTGCAGAAGATTGGCGGAGAATTCTGACTCCCAATTGTTTGACAACAGCAGCAATAAAATGACTCCTAAATTTCACTGCTGAAAGGAAGAACTTTGGAATAAATCCAGGAGTTGTGTGTGTGTCTGTGTGTGTGTGTGTGTGTGTAGAAGAACTCCATTCAGTTCTGCTACTCAAACTTGGGCTCAACATTCTTTTCCTATTCCACAACATTCTATTCCTGGGCTCAACATTCTTTAATTCTAAGTGTATGTCTTTGGCTCCAAGCTTTTGTCTGAGGATCTTGGGGTTTCTGCTGGATCCTGCAGAAAGTAGGTATTGCAAGACTCAAGTCTATCCACACCTGATCTCTGGGATAATGAGATTGTAAGTTCCTTGAGGGCAGGGTCCCATCTTGTTTTTGCCCATGCAGTTATGTAAAGTGGAGAGTGTGCCCTGAGAGTGCAGCGCTGTATAACTCAAAGGAGAAGGAGGAAGACAGGGAAATTCAAGTTCATAGTCAATGTGGGACAGAAGGGAGATTGGGATTTCCCACTAGTAGTATATCATTGATGGAGATGTGGCAAGGGAAATGGAGCTGTCTCACTAGTGGCATGTCATTGACAAAATAAAATGAATGAATGAATGAATGAATGGTGGTCAGCTATCCAAATGGGATTTATCAATATTTTAAACACAAACACTCTCCATGCATCACTAAGACTCCACCACAGAAGTCTGTTGTTATTTATCGCGTGTGGGCACGTTTGTGTTTAAAGCTTTGCTAATGCTAAGAAGGTGCCCGATTTCTTCCCCCACCGTCCACCATTGGCGAATGTGCAGCTGCGCTTGCAAGGACTCAGGGCAGCACGTATCGTATGGAAGTGCTTTTAAATGTGTGTGCCTTTACCTAAAAGTTGCAGGTGGTGGGAGAGCTCTGAAACAAAGAGGTTGCTCTCCCCCACCCCTTTCCTTTCTTTCCGGCCGTGACTCTAAATATCTTTAACGACAAAGCGGAAATTCAACAGGTGCAGCACAAGAGATGCCGCACGGAAAAACAGCGGAGGAGGAGGAGGGGGGCTGTCACCTGTGTGGAGGTGCTAGATTAATGATTTTCACTCGGAGCAGCCCTGGAGATCTTAAGAGCAATTCCTTTCCATTGCAAAGAGCGTGCTGCTGGTGGTGCTTGTTTATTTCCCTGAAAAACAGCCAGCCCCCGAAAACTCCTCGGCCAAAAGAGACAAAAACAAGCCCCCACCCGCCCAACAAACTGGGGCGCGCTCTTTCTCTTTCGATGGAAAGGGAAAGCCGCCTCCTCCCCCGCGCTGGGCGCCTTTCAGCCATTGTCCTCCACGTTCCACGGTGACGCTTGCCTGGGGATGCTCCGCGCAGCTGGAACGTGAGAGTGGCCGGGCGGGGAAAGAAGCGGGCTGCTGATTCTGGAGAAGGGTTATTAGGCTGAGCAAGCGCCACCGGGGCGACGCTTTGCTGCCTCCGCCGCCATCGAGGGCGGACTCAGCTGGGGAGCTCCAGGGCAGCCAGCAGCACTAGGGGAGAGGCAGGCCGCCTGGTTCCCTGGGCGCGATGGCGCCGCCCTGCCTGGGCTACTCCGCAGGGGCGCAGGGGAGCGCGTTTCCCGGGAGTGCCTCCCCTGGTGACGCCCGGCAGGCAGCGAGAGAGGCTGGCCGCCCAGGCTTCTGGAAGAGCCAGAGACCCAGGTAAAGAGAGCACCGAGAGGGTGGAGGGGGGGTCCTCACTTTGGGGAGGGGGAGGGGTGTGTGTGTGTGTGATGTCGTCGGAGTATGACAAAATCTGCGTCTCTTGACAGTCCTGGGGAGCTTTGCTCCTCTGTGTTTGTGTGTTTGCGTGTTGCTGGGCTTCCTGCTCGGACGCTGCCTCGCCCCTGTGGGCTACTGAGCTGCCAGGAGGCCTGGCCTGCTCGTTGGCTGCCTGGGGGCTGGGAGAGAGAGCCCTCTGTGGGGTATTCTTCCCTCCTGGCTGGTGGAGAGGGAGTGCTTTCTGGAAGGCATCCGCGCCTGTTTGGTTTCCCCAAATCTGAGTCCCACCGTGACGCTTCTATCTTGGCTGATCGTGCCGAGACTTGCCTTCCCATCGTAGTGGGGTCATCATCCACCCTCCCCTCCTACCCCCTTGGGATAGGGTCTGGGGCTGCCGCATGGCAACGTCCCCGCTTTGGGGGATTCTCACCGCTGCGATATAAAGTGTGCGGGAATACAGTATGTGTGTGCTTAGGCGGAGCAGCGGCCCTGCGCAACAGTTGCTTGGAAGAAAAGCCTCCATTCCAATGAAACTTGAGAGGTTTAAAGAGTGGGGGCGTTCCTTGCAGATGCTGTGAACCTGCTTGCAACAGGACAACGTAGTGAGGTAGGTTGCTGTTACTCCTGTTCCTTCAGCTGGAGGAACAGAGAGAGAGAGAGAGAGAGAGAGAGAGAGATTGCGGGGAGGGATCATAGCTCAGGACTAGAGTACATGAATTGCATGCACAATGTCCCTTGTTCAGTCCTAGATGTCTCCAGTTATCAGGATCAGATAGCAAGTGATGGAGAAGACCTCTGCCTTAGGTTCTGGACAAATATACTAGCTAGTATTAGGCAACTTCCTAGGTTTCTAGAGAGTGCTGTCCAACATGCTATTGGCTATTGTTATTGGGACTACTAAATTAGGGCTGTGCTCCTACTCTTGTTTATGGTGTGCACTTACTGTGTTTGCAGTGCTGAGTTTTTAATCTGTTTTCAGGCAACATTCTCCAAAATGCATATATGTACTTTGTTGCAAGATGCTACTGTTTGATGCTTGTTGTTCTTCAAACTCCTTAAGCCACCAGTTCCTTATTCTCTGTAGCCAAGGTGTGAACACTGTTACATACGGGGAAAGACATCCACACCCACTTCCACACTTCCTGGGTGTGTACACAAACAGAAATGAATTTGCTGATGTGAGCAGAAGAAGGGTGGGGAAGTGTGAAGCACACCAAAGCAGCAGCAACTTGACTGCACCCTAGGATTTGAGTTCTGGTCTTACAGATCCAAGTCCGAAATCTTCTGTCTCTGTTGGGCTTGCTTAATGGCAGACATAGATCTTCCCAATGGGCAGCTGCTAGAGCTTGGGGAGGAAGTCGGCCGGGGGGGGGGAATATCGGGGGCAGAGCAGCACTGGAAATTGTCTTTTTATGATCAGCACATGGGTTCCAAACTAACTCCAAGCTCCAGGAGATACTTGAGCAGGTTGGACTCCTCCTACCCCTTTGAAGGTTGTGTGGTCAACAGATGAAATGCTTTCAGAATGTGGATGTTGCGATGGCAAACATCACCTGCTGAATTTCCTTCTGTCCTGCGGCTGTTAAAGGCACAGGGGCCCTGTCACAGAAACAGCTGGCGCACCTGCACCCTGCTCCCTGTCCTGTTCCATTTTAGCATTCTTGCTTTCTAAAACCCTGTTTCTTCTTATCACCTGGCAAAAGTGCTTCAGATTCTTTCAATGCTAGTGTTTTCAAAAAGCCTTGGCTGTCCTCCGTGCTGTTTGAGGAAACAACACAGAGGAGGAGACAAAAATGAACTTGGTGAGGGGCTTTTGCAGATTTAAACTTGAACTATGTGGTGTTTGGTTATTCAGTAATCCCTAGCCTTGTTAATAGTGAAATTTTTATTTTACTTTTATTTATTTGATTTATATAGTACCCTTCATTTGAAGATCACAGTACACCAATAATACATGCTTTAGTACAATTTTATTAAAGAGATGTTAATTCTGCCGCTAAAACAACTGCAGAAGTAATAAATGAATTAATTGAAAAACATTCTGATAACTTTACCTTCAGAATTTTCTCACTGGAAAGGAACCAAAAGATGATTCACCCTGAAGGCTTGAAAATCTGCGACTTCTTTGCTTGGATTTTTGGCTGGTAGAATCAGGACTGAAGGGAAAACCCCAGATGCCTAAACTTCCTGAAGTAGAAATATTTTCCCCAACCCGAGCAACAGTTTGATTCTGTCATCTTGGCAAACAGCGTAGCCAATATCTCCTGTGCAAAAAGTATTTTGATCAGTCTATTTTTGTTGTTGTTGTTGTTTTAAAAATGAGGTGTTTGTGTTATTCACATATTGATAAAAGTGCTGTGGGTGCCAGCACAGCACAAAATGGCTGTCATGGGGAGCAAAGAGAGAGAGAGAGAGAGGTGCTGCTCCTCTGTACTAGTGAAAACTGTCATAAAAAGACCTGGTTCCGATACTCTTGAGACAACCCAATCCTGTGTGCACTTATTCAAAAGCAAGCCCCACTGAATTCAGCAGTGTTTACCCACAAATTATGCGTAACACCATGGCTTATGGCAGGTCTGCAGGATGCTGAGAATATTGGCTGGGCTGAATGGAATGTTTCCATGAACGTCTCGTCTAGACCTTGAGGAAACTGATAGCCTAGGTGTGGGGAACCCGTAGCCCTTCAGATATTTTAGACTCCAACTCCCATCAGCTCTGGCCAGTGTGGCCAATGGTCAGGGATGATGGGAGTTGTAGTCCAGCATCATCTGGAGAGACCCAGTTCCCTGACCCCTGTGATAATGGATTAGTCTGCAATCCTAACCCTACTTGTCTGGGAGCAACCTCACTGAATTCAACAGGACTTACTTCTGAATGGACATGGTTAGGATTGCACTGTTATTCCAGTAGTCCCAGAATTCCTTGTAATTAGTTAAAATGAATGTCAACAAGATGAGGTGCGACTGCTTGCAATTCATTTTTATTTTTTTTAGTGATTTTACATCCCATGCTGCTGAGAATCCTGGGGCATATTCCCAACTTAAGTACTTACAGCACAGGAAATTTGTGATCCTTGGTATACATGCATGGATGTACTGCAGAGGGAAGGTGAAATAATAGTTAAAATTCCACGGTCTTCCTTTCTGGCCATGCAGGTGATAACTCTCGTACAGCAGGCTTGTGCTGGTGTTGCTTTGACAGGGTTGGTGGGTCAAACCTACAAGGGGGCTGTCCTGCCTGCCTGTTGGCAGCTGTGATTATACCAGGAGGCAGCATGCTGGGCTTGTCTGTATTCATTTGCATCGGTCCTTCTGAGTAATGCAGCTGGATTGCTGAGCCTGTTGCTTCTTGAGAGCCAGTGTGGGCGTGTGCAGAAAACAGGAGAAATGGAAACGACAAACCCCTGGGATTCGCAGCCAACAACATCCCCCACCACAGCAGAAAATGAAAATAGCTGTGTGCTGAGGCTAGCTTAATGGGGAAGGGCGATCCTGAAGGTTTTGCACCAGCTGCAGGGCGTTCTGTTGCTTGGGGACTGAAGAGCATTAATGAGGAGGGCCGATTGATCTCCACTCGCATAGGCAATTATAACCTTATTTCGCCTTACAGCTGCAGGCGGATCAGCTAATAGGAGGGCTGCCTGTGGAAAGTGTGAGGTTGACTTGGCTCTGCTGCTTCCTTGAAATGTGGAGGGTTTGGGAGGGGGCGTTGTTGAATTCAGCAAAGGTTGTGGAATCTCTTGTTATGCTGAAGTTTCTGCCTTCTCTCTTCTCTCTCTCTCCAGACCTGCTCCCCAAGGGGCTATGTAAACACACAGAACTCCTCCTTGGTTTCCAGCCGAGCGAGCAATATGCCCGAACAAAGCAATGATTACCGAGTGGTCGTGTTTGGAGCTGCAGGTGTTGGCAAGAGTTCTCTGGTTCTCCGCTTTGTGAGGGGAACCTTCCGGGAGACGTACATTCCCACCGTCGAGGACACCTACCGCCAGGTGATCAGCTGCGACAAGAGCATCTGCACCCTTCAGATCACAGATACCACCGGGAGCCACCAGTTCCCTGCCATGCAGAGACTGTCCATCTCCAAAGGCCATGCCTTCATGTTGGTCTACTCCGTGACCAGCCGGCAGTCCATCGAAGAGCTTCAGCCCATCTACGAGCAGATCTGCCAGATCAAAGGAGACATCCAGAAGGTCCCGATCATGTTGGTGGGGAACAAGAGCGATGACTCGCAGAGGGAAGTGCAGGCCAGTGAAGGGGAGGTCCTCGCCACCAAGTGGAAGTGCTCCTTCATGGAGACGTCGGCCAAAATGAACTACAACGTGCAGGAGCTTTTCCAGGAGCTCTTGAATTTGGAGAAGAGGAGAAGCGTCAGCCTCCAGGTGGACGGTAAGAAATCCAAGCAGCAGCGCAAGAAGGATAAACTGAAAGGCAAATGCTCAGTCATGTGAGATGCCTGGGTTCTGCGCCGCCTTTGCGGTTGAAACAGGACTTCTTCTTGCATTGAAAACTGTCTTGCCTGTCCTGGGGTGTGCCTGGAGTAGCGATTTCCCGAGGAGCTGACCCAGTATGTTTTTGCTTTATAGTCTAAATTTCGTTTAGGCTGTTTGAATATTCCCTTGATGGAAGTTGGGGTTTGCATGTTTGTTCTGCACTAGCAGGCTTTTCCAAAACAGCCGCCGTCGCTCTCCATGCCCTCCTGTCCCTGCAGCAACCAGTATTAGCCATTTATGTGACAGGACAAGCTGCTAGGGTCACGTGCGTTGAGGAAAAGCAACAGAGGGTACTCTTGTCCTGCATTTTGCCACTGCTTCTGAAACCATCTCCAAGTTATCATAGCCTCTCCCCTCCTGCCCTTATGCAAATGCTCAAGGAACCAAGCAATTCTCAGTAGGGCTCCGGTCAGTAAGCCAGAAACAAACAAAAACAGTACTGTGTCTGATGTTTTGTATATACTTCAAGGGGATCTCTTCAGATGGATGCATCACCAGGGTAAAATCAAATGCTGATTGCGGTAAATGATGACTTTTGATCATTTACCGTAGAATCTGCACACTTGTAGGGAAGGAGGAGCTGCATTCCTCACCAAAAAAGTGCTTGTTGTTTCCTATTACATGTTAAAACTTCATTTGTGGTGTTTGTATATTGGCAAGGATTTTATGTGAACGATTAAAGTGATTTGAGTACCTAGTGTGCATCTGTTGACTTCTTAACCATAAGCAGATCCAAGGTTGTCTTCCCCTAAAAGATAGAATCTGTGGTCAAAAATACTCACTGTGCTTTTCAAATTGAGGATGGCCAAGAGGTGAACTTTGGTGTACTTTGGGCAGGGATGGGGAAAGTGTGTTCCTCTAGGCATGGACTCCAACTCTCAACAGCCTCGGCCTCCATGACCCACCAAGCAGTATCTGGAAGGCTACAGATCCACCATACCTGGTCTTGAGTCATGCTGCACATTAAACATTCTCCATTTTGCTACAACTGGCTGCAAACGTATTCCACTGTCGTCGTCGTCTTCTTCTTCTTTGGCGACCACTCATAGCCAAGTAAGATTAATGGAGCAATGGCTAAGTTGTAGAACGAAGATGTGGCTCAGAGAAGCTTCCACACAAGACGTTTAAGGTGGGATGGCTGTGCCTCCTTTGCTCACATTTTACAAGGCGCCTATTTTGCGCTGTCCATTTGTAATCATCCTTTGTTTCCCCAAGTGTTCAAAGGTGGTGGATGGTTGGTTGGTGGGGGGAGGCTAACACCCAGAGCAGGGCATCTCCTAAGAAGTCTAATAAGCAAGAGGGTTTGTTGGTGTTTAGCAGCTCAAGTCTGTCCAGCCATCTGATGAGATGGACAGTTTATTTCTGGCATAGTTGAGGCTCCTTATTGTTACTAACATTCTGCCATACAGTTATAATAAATCCATCAGAACTGGTAAATGCATAATAACTGATAACAAACAAACGGAATGGAAAACCACAATAAAACTTTTTATACGTCACAGTTGACGTTTCGGCTTCTAGTTATCATTTTAAATATTTCATTCATTGCAGCAGACCTGCTGCAGTTAGACCTTCAAATATATCTGAATGGCAAAGATTCCATATTAAAAGGACATTTAGTTTGAACATATGTGAATAGGGCAGTGCGGGGGGGGGGGTCATCCATGCAAGCCCGCAGCCAGCAATGATGTCCCCACTAGAGAAGATGCATTTAACATGAAAGTCTGAAGGAGAATCTGAAGGGAAGTGTCTCTGCAGTTAGGAACCTGTGCAAAGTCTGGCAGAGGCGGACTTAAGGCAATGCAACTGGCTCCGCTGCGCTGGGCGCTGAGCCTAGGGGGCGCTGCAGGGCTATGACGTAGTGAATTGAGCAGAACAGAAGACATGAGGCAGCAGGCACCGAATTTGGGGCTTGGATGGGGAGTCGTTGATGTTTGAAAGACCAACGTGCACCCCTGAAGGCTTGGGAGTAGAGGGGATGGTCTGGCTCAATGCCTGACTGGGGCAATAAAGTATGTCAAATCTAGGAAGAGTACTCAATAGCTAGAACACCTTAATTCTCTATGACCAGCAACTTAAAACAAAGGCATCTCCTAATTCCCTTCTGAGGTTGATGATCTGCCGTCTGGTTAAATAAATAAAATATATGCCTATAATTTTGAGATACCAAAAATAAAGAACCAATGCAGTGAAGCAAGTCCATTCCATTTTGTTTTTTTAATGATATTTATTAAGGTTTCCAAAAAAAGAAAAGTTACATATATAAGAAAAAGAAAAATAGAAAAAATACAAAATACAAAATACAGAAAAAATAAAAAAGACTTAAAAAAACAAATCATTCTTTCCATACCTTACATTTCATTTACTTGTTTCCCTGACCTCCTCACGCCTCCCTTTTTTGTATTCCAGTTCAGTTAATTAATTCAGCAATTCCTTTCCCTCTTTGTTTTTATCTTAATCCTTTAACTTAATATATTATAGGTTTAGATTCTCACCTGTTAACAATCCATTTTTACATACATCTTTATATCATTGCTGCTAAAACCACTTAACTTCATTCTGACATCATTCTAACATTCATTGATTTTACAATATTTCTGTAAATAGTCTTTAAATTTCTTCCAATCTTCTTCCACCGACTCTTCTCCCTGGTCTCGGATTCTGCCAGTCATTTCCGCCAGTTCCATATAGTCCATCACCTTCATCTGCCATTCTTCCAGAGTGGGTAGATTTTGTGTCTTCCAATACTTTGCAATAAGTATTCTTGCTGCTGTTGTGGCATACATAAAGAAAGTTCTATCCTTCTTTGGCACCATTTGGCCGACCATGCCCAGGAGAAAGGCCTCTGGTTTCTTCAGGAAGGTATATTTAAATACCCTTTTCATTTCATTATAAATCATCTCCCAGAAAGCCTTAATCCTTGGGCACGTCCACCAAAGGTGAAAGAATGTACCTTCGGTTTCTTTACATTTCCAACATTTATTATCGGGCAAATGATAGATTTTTGCAAGCTTGACTGGTGTCATGTACCACCTGTATATCATTTTCATAATATTCTCTCTTAAGGCATTACATGCCGTAAACTTCATACCTGTGGTCCATAACTGTTCCCAGTCAGCCATCATTATGTTATGTCCAACATCTTGTGCCCATTTAATCATAGCAATTAAATTTTGGGGGTACAATGTACATTTTGGGGTATAATGTACCGTAATTTCATTTATTATGAAATGTGTGGAAGAAGTGTAGCCACTGATGACTGGGACAGCTGGAATCTTTTTGCAGCCAAGAAAGTAAAAAACAACACACACACACACACACCAAAATTTCAGCAAATACGAATGCTAGGCAGTAATACATTATGGTAGAGGGCGATGTAAATTTTTTTAAAAAAAAATTATTTTGCAGTGCAGAAAACATAATATATTGGCAGAATATAGTAAGCAGAAATTAGAACTCTGATGTGCAGTAAAATATTTTTGAAGTCTTATGACTTCAGCTGCTGAAAGGCCTGATTCTGCAGTAATATAAATGCTAAATAACAAATATGTCATCATCCAAAAGCACAGCTCCCCACAGCCAAACTGGCTTTAAAGCAGTTTAATTTTCTTGGCTTTGTAAATGAAAAGTGCAGTGCATTTTTTAAAAAGTGGTTCAGATGAAGGAATTTTGGCAGGTGTGGCTTGTAAAGGAGAGCTGAAAAATCTTCCATTTCCCCCTCCACAACTGTTAAATGTATAGGAGCCCTAACCCTTTGCACCAGCTCAACATACAGTCTTTTCGACAAGGTTTGCCTCAAATATTTTATCTCTCAAAGGCCCTGTACCAGGCATAGGCAACCCGGCCCTCCAGATGTTTTGGGACTACAATTCCCATCACCCCTGATCACTGGTCCTGTTAGCTAGGGATCATGGGAGTTGTAGGCTAAAAATATATGGAGGGCCGAGTTCGCCTATGCCTGCCCTGTACAGACAAAACAATTTCAGGGTGATTAAATCATGGTTTATTGGCCAGAGCACCAGTCATGTGCTCCCTCTTCTCCACTAATGTGTCTGGTTTCAGTTTCTTGTTTCTTCAAGCTACAGTTTCTGGGTTACATATGGGAAACTGTGGTTTAATCTTGACTTAGGCCAAGAATCCAGGATCTGAGCCTGGCAGGGGCAATCTTGCAACACTCATACTAAGGAACGCTACCTTGTTCCCTTCCTCTGCAATACATTACTTTAAGGCTTCCCTCTCTCCTTGCTGTATGTTGTGCTTATTTAATCTGCAATAAAGTTGACAGCCTGCACCTGCATAAATATGCTCAGGTTGCCCCGTGCCAGGCTGCAGGCACACTGTAAAGCACAAGCAATCTTACAGCAGTATTTTGAACTAATCCAGATTTTTGGACCCCTCATACAGCGTTTCACAGCAGCCTGGTGTCATGGACTGCTTGGATGCAGAGGAACCAGCTGGGAAACCACCAAGAGCTCGGGAAGTGGTGGTGGGACAATGATGAGTGGTCAGAGGGAGAAGACTGGGAGGAGGAGGAGGAGGAGGTGTCAGAAGCTGAAGAGGTAACAGGGCTTAGTGAGCTGGGAGAGTCAGTGGCAGAGAGCAGTCCAGAACCAGAGACAGAAGAGGAGCTTGGAGGAGGTCAGAGAAGATGGAGACCAAAAGATAGAGTCAAGCTGGTGAAAGAGTCATGGGTGTCCTCCCCCTCCTGCTGCGGCAAGTTCTCCTCCCCCACATCTCCAAGAACCAGAACCGGCATGAAAAGGACAGAGGAGAGATTGGTAACACGCAGATGCAGTCTTTGATTGCTTGGGGGAAACCCATGGAGAGGGGGGGACTTAGGCAGCTGTGGGGAGGTGGGGACTATCCATCTCACCAACTGCTTCACGGGGGCAAGACTTCCTGGAGATGAGTTGCTGTGCTCACTAGGCCTGCCGGTCCTGTGCAGATTGCGTTCTTGCTAATAAAGAGTTAACTCCAACTTGCACAGTGTGATTTACTGCTGGCTCGTTCTTGACACCCACATTTCCTTGCTACTTCTTTTGCACACACTTAGCAGAGAGAAAGCCCCAGGCCTTTCTCGGTGGGGTTAAGAAAGACTCCTCTCAGATACCTAGAGAGCAACTGACAGACAGTGTATATCAGGGGTGGTGGGAAACTTCAGGCCAGGGGTCAAATGCAGTCCACCAGGCCTCTCTAACCATCCCTTTCGGCAGCTTCTATGAGCCACAGCCCTTGCCAGTCCTGCTCCATGCCCTACTTAAGAACTTTGCTGAGTTGAGAAGTGCCCTTGAATGGTGCTGCTGCTGCTTCCTGCGGGATGGAAAGAAGGGGGAAACGCCTTAAGAGTGACTGGAATGTAACCTACAGTACAAAAGGAAGAGAGTCTGTGGCTGGCCATCAGGCAACTGCTTTTTTCACCTGCCTTGCCCCACCCTCCAACCCTAGGAGCCTTTCCCAGTCCATGACTTTACAAACAGCAGAAGGTAGCTGGGAAGAGAGCAGAGGAGTTCAGGGATATTTTTTTAATTAAAAAAAATATTTTATAAGTTGTGTGCCTTTGTTTCTCACTTTGATCATTTTACATGGTTTTGTGTGCATTGAGGTATTTTATGCATTGTGACTTGCTGTTATTTTTATTGGTTATAGTTTAGCAGTTATTTTACTATACAGTACAGTGGTACCTCGGTTTTCAAATGTAATCCTTCTGGCAGACCGTTCGAGTTCTTAAATGTTCGAAAACCAAAACCTCAATAGCCAACAGCTAGGCCTCAGGATCTTGCACTCAGCGGAAGCTGCGAAACATGTTCGACTTCCGAGGCGTGTTCAAAAACTGAAGCATTTCCGGGTTTATGGCATTCGAAAACTGAAACGTTCAACTTCTGAGACACTCGAAAACCGAGGTACCACTATAATTGTTAAGAGTGAATTTCCGTTTAATTATTGTTTGCTGATATTTAATTTTATTGTGCACTGTTACATTCTCATGGGTTCTTGAATGTTACTTTGTTTGATATACGGCAAGTGGTTTATCTTGAAGGTATGTTTTTTATTATGACTTGTTTTGTTAAGTTGTGGGTGAACATATCAGATGACACAGCGATTCTTCAAACAGCTCTTGTTTATTCACAGGCCAGGACAGAACTGAACTGAAGGGTTCAGTCAGGCTGCTTATATAGAGCTCCACTACAACACAACTGTAACAATTTTCTAAAACTATCCAATCACTGAACGTCACTTTCGATCCCTTATTTGCATAACTATCTACAGTATCCCCCTGCTGGCCCAGGGTGAGAACTTCAGTACATAACATGTTTGGTATTGGACCAGATTGCTCTAAGGTGTGTGGTTGTTTCTTCAGCCCGTGGACCACCTTACGTATAGTAACGTAGAAAGGCGGTATACAAATTAAAAGTGAAATGAAAGTGAAGAGTCAATATCTTTGGGCCCATCCACCACTAATATTCAGTCCCTGGAAAGTTGCTCATGAGGGGCTGCAGTCCATGGGTTGAAACGTGTTCCTTATCCTAGACAATACAGAACTAGACGGACCGTTGGCCAGACCCAGTCAATAGCAGCCTCCTATTGAAATCTCTTTTTGATCTATGCCCCTTTCTGCTAACTAGATGCAGCCCAATTAAATGTTTATTTAACATGTTGCAGGCAGCTACATACCTTGTTTTTCCTAAAATAATTGGAGGCATGGGGGATTCTTGCTTAACCAGTTCTTTACAGGGTCCTTTTACAAGGAAGGCAGTATGCAGAGCGGAGAGGCTAATCTCTTTCTTCCCCTGCTGGGATTGGAATGGAGATTGTAAGGAAAAGTCAATTGGCATTGATGGGGATTTTCCCCACAAAGCCTCCTGGCTGCATGGGGAGCCTTCTCCATTACGGAGCTGCCTGCTGCATATTAAGCAAAAGTCTAGTTTGGCTCTCAGCAGTGAGAGAAAATCAATCTGTGCCTTATCCAAAGGAAGCCTTTGTTAATATTTCACATTTTGCAGGACTGAGCCCTGGAAAGGACATTTGTTGCTAGTGACTCCTAGTGAGCCCTGGTATGAATTATACTCTCTGGATAAGCCCTAGAAGTCATCTGATGGGCCGGGTGTGAGGGAATCTTTGGGGCTGTTACTCTTAGGGCTGTTATAAGAAAAAACTGCTCCTTTTCCCTTATGGGGTATCCAAGAGCCCGTATAGAGTTCTTAAGTGGGTTCCCTATCAGTAGCAGAAAATAACAGAGGCAAACCAGAGAATACTGAGAAGCAAAGCAGCTAGTAAGCCTGATCTTTATTAGACTGTTGCAACAGGGTTCTCACTCCCCACACGCAGGAGGGAGGAGAGAGCCCAGCACAATTGTGTGCAAGTCCTTATAAAGACTTTTGAAGTTGCTCACCCTGTAGCTCGAGACGACCCCCCAAAACATCATACATACATCAGAGAAGGAAGCGGTCTACAACAGAAATCCTGTTTGCGTGGCGAGTTCCTGCCCCCCACCAGGATAAATAAAGACACAAGACACCATAATTAAGGTTAAATGGGCGAATTAGGCCACAACTTTATTGAATTCAGGAATGAGAGGCATTGGCTTAGGCATTGGTCCTATCGACTATCCGGCTCCAGCCCATTTGCTGGAGACACGGGAAGGGTTAACACCATAGAGGGGGAGTCTCCTGCTGAGGCATGTCAACTAGGAGCTCCCCCGGGTCACCGCTCGGGGGCGTGCCTTTGGCCCACACCTCCATAGGCTTCGGACAGGGCCACGCCCCCCGGAGTCCTTTATCGGACCACCCTTCGTTCACTGGGGGGAGGTGATGGCGTTCCTCCCCCCCACATCCTCTTAACCCCTTCTTACCAATGCCTAACCACCACACGAGCAATCACTTGCCGCCAATACTCTCATGCCTGAAACCAATCCCTTATCCCCTTTGCTTTATCCATCAGCCAAACATCATTTCCAGCATCCGAAAGATGCACGCCATCAAACCGGTAGAGGGCCTCACAGTTGAAACGTAGGCCCGGGTGTTCAATGACCGTCCCACCCAGGGCTGCCACTCTACGCACCACCGCCCAATCCAAGGCTTTCCTAGCCCTATTCATGGCTATCAGGCACCTGCAATCTCTCGAAACCCGCCTCTCCATCAACGAGACCCAAATAATTGTGATGTTCGGGTAAGAGGCCTTAAGCTCCTCAAAGTCACTAAATATGTGCCACTGCAAATCAACTGCCTTTCTGTAAGCTAGGTCATTTTCTCCCAATTGTATCAGTAATGCATCTGGGGGGCCCTCCACTGCTGCTCTGGCCTTAATTGCGGGCAACATCTCGGCCCAGCGCATTCCCCTCCGAGAGACCCAGGATATAGTGATGTCAGACGGTAAGCCTAGGCGCGGCCCGAGACCGGAATTGATGGCGCGGACCCTGGCCCAATGCACAATGCTGTGCCCGATTATCTCCTGTAAGAAAATTGAAAGAACAGGCCATGGTCAGTTAACCCCAGGTGAGCCGTCATAAATTTTTTCTAACATAGCGTTTGTAAGCATCTGATTTCCAGCGGCCTAAGTCCTTAATCCTCTCAGCCGTGAGGCCCAGGTGCATTGCTGTGGTGGCCGCTCCTATCCTAAAAGAGTGCGCCGTGAAATCTGCGGGGGGAAGGCCGCATGCTGCCAGTGTTAAGCGCATGACATGAGTGAACTGGTGACGCGTCAGGGGTAAGCCATCTGCATGGATCAATAGTGGCCCTGGCGAGTTAGCCCTCAGAAATAAGAAGCGCCTGGTGTCCTTAACTGGACATGGGCCTGGTTTTCCGGTTGCCAGGAGCCGAATCAGAGCCCCCCTCCCGTACTGATCTGTTTTGGAGCTACGTATCCACAAACCTAGATCCTCCCATGAAAGCGTAACATCGCTTAATAGCAAACCCCGGGAGGAACCGCGCTGACCCTCTTCGTATACCACCTCACCAACACGCATTGCGCCGAAAAAGGCGATGGAGTATGCCGCTAAAAATAAGCGCGCCTCATACTTCGACCAGCAGACCGTTCTCAACTTTTTATGAATTTGGAACAGGATGTCAAATGATATTGGCCTCCTCATATCGCAGCTTGGGGGCTGCAGCCTGCGCCAGCCCTCTAAGGTCTTCCGTACGACAAAATCGGCACATGGATCAGAGGAAAATACCGGCTTGCAAAAGAATGATATTGCCGCAGCCTGTAGGTTGAGGGTTTTAGGGGTGCGGCCCAAGCGTCTCAAGTATACTAAGTAGGATAAAACCTCTGACTTGACGGGAGGGGCGTTGCTTCTGGCGGTGCAGGTTTTACTGCGGAATTTTAAGAAATCCGACCAAGCCTTCTTATAAGATCTTAAAGTGGAAGGCGCCAATGAGGCTAATACTCCCTGAATCACTTCTGGTTCCCAAGACTCTGGTTCCCAAGACTCCACAGATGTTCCGGGAACGGCTGAGGAAGCGGCTGTGCGTCCGGTGCTAACGAGCGGAAGCGGTCCATCTGAAAACAAGATAGGGCATCTGTGATGTCATTGTTAACACCAGGCACAAATTTGGCAGAGAAGTGGATATTGAGCTCTAAACACCGGAGAACGAAGGAACGCAGAAGGGCACCCACCCTTGGGGACCGTGCAGCCTGCCTGGAAAGGACTGCTACTACTGCCTGGTTGTCGGTGTGGAAGCAAACCCTATGGTTACTAAAGGTTTCAGACCACAAGTGCACTGCCACTACGATCGGAAAGAATTCTAGGAAGGTTAAATCTCTGGTTATGGGGCCCCCCTGCCAGGCTGCAGGCCAGCGCTGGGCACACCATTGCCCCCTAAAGTAAATGCCAAACCCTAGAGAGCCTGAAGCATCTGAATGCACCTGAAAGTCCACTTGCAGCGACAAGTTATCCTGCCACAAGGAAATACCGTTGTAGTTCTCCAAGAACTTCAACCAGACTTCCAGGTCAGATTTTACCTCCTTAGATAGGCGAACCCTATGATGAGGGGAACGCAGGCCTGCTGACAGCTTCGCGAGGCGGCCGCAGAATGGGCGGCCAGGGGAAACCACACAGCAAGCAAAATTTAAATGGCCTAGCAGTGACTGGATCTGCCTGAGGGTAACTTTTCTTAGGGGGAGCAGCTGCCGGATGAGGTCACCGAGCATGATCAATTTCTCTCTGGGAAGTTTTGAGGTCTGAGTGACAGTGTCCAACTCGATACCCAAGTAAACCATGGTTGTAGCTGGGCCCTCCGTTTTGTCGGCGGCTAGAGGAACTCCCAACTCCCCCATTAATGATGTGAAGGCTTTGAGAAGCTCTGCGCACTTAAGCCTGCTATCAGCCACGAGGATAAAGTTGTCCAGGTAGTGCGACACGCCCTCGGAGCCAGTTCTAAAGTGAAGCGCCCAGTCCAGGAAGGTGCTGAATGCCTCAAAGGCTGCACAGGCCACTGAGCAACCCATGGGCATTGCTTTGTCCACGAAATAAGCCCCTTCAAATTTGAAACCAAGCCACCGGAAGTCTTGCAGATGGACTGGCAGGAGTCTAAAGGCAGACTCAATGTCACATTTTGCCAGCAGCGCACCCTTACCGAATTTGCGAATCAGTTTGACCGTTTGGTCAAAGGTGGCATATCTCACAGAGCGAAGTTCCTGCGGTATCGCATCATTGACGGACCCCCCTTTCGGGTAAGAAAGGTTGTGAATCATATGAAACTCACCAGGCGCTTTTTTAGGGACTATGCCTAAAGGGGATATGTGAAGGCCTTCTAATGGAGGAACTAAAAAGGGGCCATCTACCCTTCCTGCTTTAATTTCCTTACTAATTTTCCTTCGGGCAACCTCGGGCATCTCCCTCACTGATTTTTGATTTGGTGGCTCACTTGAATTGGGGGGGAAAGCTACTGGGATCCTAAAACCGGTACTAAAACCTTCCCATAAATACAATGCTGCTGTTTTGTTAGGATAAAGATCTAAAAGGTTTTTTAACGGGGTCAACTTAATAGGGGAAAAGGCCAGGCCTAGATCGAAATTACTGGCGGTTTCCCTGAGGTCCAAATGGAGCTCCATGGCCACCTCTGGGTCCCTGGTTGTAGGAACCTCTCCCACCCCGAAAGGGCTGCCTCCCTTTAATGCAGGCAGTGGCTGGGTGGTTACCGAGGCATTTCTCGCACTTGTGGCTGTACTTACAGACAGGCCGCACACAAACCCCTTTGTTGAATTCCCAACACAGTCACCTCTGTTTCGCAGCAGTCTTCCAGGGTTTTGACGACTCCTGGGGCTTTCGTGGACCTGCTCTGACTAGTTCAGAGATACCAATTTCTGCGAATCATATAATTAGAGCGCTTCCCGCTAATCTCGTGCACATGGCAGGTGAAGATGCGCCCGCGACCATAGATGGAAAATTTCAAAGTGCCGTGTCTGTACCTGATAGTTGCGCCTCTTTTCCGCAGCTTAGCTGTAACAATCTGAATTATCTAAAATCCCATTGCTATTTCTGGATAATGATTACCACAGAATCTGATGTTGTGTTAACATCAGAACAGGTCCTTCATTCAGGGACCCGTAAAGGACTTGGTAGTGGCCCACCAAGGAGACCACAGTTTCCCGGCAGTCCATATCGCTATCAGTCGGATGAAGCTATCTCGAACGTCTCTTCTCTCTTCTTCGATCTTCCTCTCCTGGTCGCGGGCGACGGAAGGATCCAACCTTGCTCCGCGGCTCTGAAAAAACAAAGAGCTAAAAAAACCTAAAGGGGGAGAGACGAACAAACCTAATACAAACCTCCAAAAGAGGAAAGCGTGGGGGCTAGCCGGCGAAAAGAGGGTGAGCCCCCTCTGCGCCGGCCCTAAATAGGGCAGGCCACGCCCCCCCCAGCCAGCCGATTGGCTGGCTGGGGGGAAGACACGGCCGGGATTCCCCTGCTCTTGCAGGGGCTGAAACCAGCCCCCGCTCATGTGGGGGTGGGCGTGAAGCCCACAACCCCACCTCCTGGGCAGGCCGGAAGTGGTTTTGCCAGGTTACCTGATAATGGTCACTGATTGCTTTACCTGGGCAGCCTGGCCATTTTTTTGTGATGGTTCCTGAATCCAGGTCACAGGCTCACCCTATTCATATACAAATATGCCCTTAAGACAGGATTTGTAAGCAAAAGACAATGGGGAGGCTTTCCCATTTCCTTTCTCCTTGCAGAGAAATATTTTAGGTCAATTTGAGAGAGTCAAAATGACTTCAGGATTGCTCTCCTGTACTATTTCAGACACATGGTTTATATACTTACATATTTATGAACATTTAATTTATATTTGAGACCTTAGAATTCTTATAAGAGGGCTGTAGCAAAATGAAAGTATTATTATTGTTCCACAGGACAGACAGGTACACTTTCTCCTTCTTCCACAGCAAAGACTGCTCAGTTTTTACAGAGCTACAATACCCAGTGTTCCCTGGGAAAAGAGTACCCTTAACAAACTACAGTTCCCATGACTCTTTGGGGGAAGCCATGTCATTTTAAAGTGGTATGAAACTGCCTCAAATGTATAGTGCAGATGGGGCCCTATAATTAATTTCAGTGGGACACCCAGATGTACATGCTTCATTCTTCTGTAGGAACCAGTGGGATTTAAAAGCACTTTGCTGTGGCTGGATTACATTTAATTTGCTTGCCCACTTAATGTGTTTCTTTGATCACTCTGGCTAATATACCTCCAGATCTCATTGCCTTTACACAGATAGCAAAAAAATAAAAAAATTACATCTGTTGTTTCACAACTTTTAATGTCACATCTACCGTAGTTTCTCCCTGAGCTTCTCTGGTTAAATTATAGAGACATTGTTTGATGGACTGTGGGCTAGGATCCAACCAGCATGCTTGGTTTTCCTGGCTGTGACTATGTGTGGAAGTCCTAAATGGAAAAAAGGAGGAAGGCCCTGCTGTAGGGTGAGGTCTGCAGCATGTAAGTAGATTCGAAAGGAGAGTGATCTGTGAGGATGCTTCATTTCTGAGTACAGTGGTACCTCGGGTTACATGCGCGTCAGGTTACATGCGCTTCAGGTTACACACTCCGCTAACCCAGAAATAGTGCTTCAGGTTAAGAACTTTGCTTCAGGATAAGAACAGAAATCGGGCTCTGGCGGCGCGGCAGCAGCAGCTAAAGGCCCCTTTAGCTAAAGTGGTGCTTCAGGTTAAGAACAGTTTCAGGTTAAGAACGGACCTCCGGAACGAATTAAGTACTTAACCTGAAGTACCACTGTAGTAGCAGATAACGAATAATAGAATAAACCCTTGGCCTAAACTCTCTCTGTGTGTTAAATCTGTGTGTGATGGTGTTTTGTGTTAAGGAGTGCATGGTATTATGTTTTGGCTGTGTAATTTGATGGTGTGACACAATCCACTGCTGGAATGTGGCTTCCCAGCTTCACCTTAGGGTTAAGAAGGTTCCCCACCACTGGCCTATAACAATCATGTGATTTTGTGAACACAGAGGAGGGAGCCCCAAAGAACATAGGGCCCCTACAGATTCCTTTTTATGGGGCATTCATGGTTGGTTTTTCTCTTGGCGGTTTCGGGACAGTCACACTTGATCCCACTTTGCATACCACTTGCACCTGCTTCATTTCCAAGCAGTCTCACTTCCTGCTGAAATCTGATAAACATTTCGGTTTAGTTTCCCCCCTGTTTTTGTCGCACTATAGCCCCTCCAGACAGCAAGAGTGTGGCAACGTGGGAGAAGCATCACGGAGCAAAGTAAAGTAGAGAAACTCCACCACCTATGCACTATTATTGTGTCGGGAACACATTGCAGAATATGTTCCTGCAGATAAAACACCAGTCTGCAGGGACCCATAGTCTATTCTCAGATCACATTCGAGCTACTTCAATTCCACTTCAATGTTATACTGACTTTCCAGCTGTGCTCACAATCTCACGAAGCTGAATGATCCGCTGATGGGATGCTTTCTCACACAGAGGCAGGCTTGAGTTTGCAACTCAGCTTATGCTCAACATGGCCCCGGCTGTGTTTGAAAGGTTGTGTTTGTTGCAGTCACACTTTGCATTTTTAGGTGTAAACCTACCCTGCAGGATCACACCAAAGGCCCACCCAGTTCAGCCTTCTGCTTTTATCCAGTGTCCAGACTCCAGCCAGATGCCTCTGGAAATGCCTGAAGCGGAGCATGCAAACAAACACCCTCTCATACCGCCTCTGACGTGTAATGTGTGAAGTGACTCTGATTCACTGCTGTATCACAAGGAGGGGAGACAACGGGGTAACATTGGCAATGAAATTGCCTCATATATGACACAGTATTTGACAACGGATTTGAAAGCCTGAATCAATGCTTAACATTGTGTTTTATGACCATTTCTACTAAAATGTGAGTACAGCTTTGAAAACTTGTTTATTTGGTACTCTATAGTTTCCAGCTCATGTTTACTAACACTCTCCCTCCTGCTCCACACACACACACACACACACACACACACACACATGTTAGAACTTTTGATGGAAAAGAAATGTCAGTGGGTGCTTCCAGATGGGGCTTAATTCTGTAAATGACTTGTTGAGATACTGTTTGTTCACAACAGGTTGCTTTTTTACCTTTTTGGATTTCGCCCAGAAAGAGTAAATCTGAGTTAAATGGGGGAGGGGTATGGTCTGGCATTTTGATGCTGAGATCATGTGGACAGAACACTTTGCCTGCATGAGGAATCTGGAATCACCCACTGTAATATGTTCCTGCCTACATGCTTTTGAAAAGTGTCAGGAAAACTTCAGTTTAATAATCCAGAATGCAGTGGCCAGATTGGCAAAAGGACTGGGCAGACCCTCTGCCTGCACATCATTAGTATTCCAAAAGGAACAAGCACCCCAAATGCATACACTTCTCACACAATGTGGTAGACTTACATTTTGCTAGGGGGCTACATGAATACAAAATCTATATGAGAATTGGCCTCTAGGCTCTATGAGGAACCTGCAGTTTGGTAGGAAGCAATAAAAGGAATAGGGGATGACATCCCTGCTCACTTTGCTTGCCACCAAAGCCCCTCTCTTCTGAAGCCCCCTTACATTCTCCTTACCCATTACTGCTTGCCGCAGGCCCCGCCCCTTTACTCCTTGTCCGAGCAATCCCTTCCCTAGGCCCCTCCCCTCTGCAGCTCAGTCACTCCACTGTGCCACCTTGCTCAGACCGCCCAGCCATTGCAAGTCCAGTTCGCTCATGCACCCTCTCCAATCCCATTCACATCTCCATGCATCTTCTCGCTTTACCTGCCCCACAGCTACATGCCCTGTTAGCTCACCTGTCGCACCTACCTCCTTGCTCTCCCACACTGCCACACCATTCCTCTTGCTCAACTCACTCCCTTGCCACAAGACAACCCCACTCACCCACTTCAACCCTCTACTGCAAGACCAGCTTGCTTGCCCATCGCCCTGTCACTTGCCTGTCTCAGATGCCCCCCTCACCCTGGAGCATGCACAGACCATCATCAACCTGACGACTGACTAGTACAAATATAGTATAGAGAGAAAGGAACTGCTCGGGCAGAGAGAGAAAAGCCTTGGTTCAACTGCTTCTAACGCCAAAATCCACTTCCAGAGATAAAGCACAAATTCTGAGCTTCAGGGCAAGACTAGAAGAGACCCCTTTCTGAACTACTGGAGGACCTGTGCTGCTGTGCATAGACAATCTTGAACTAGATGGAGTAAATGTCCGACGTGGTATAAGGCACCTTCCTATGGTCCAGAGATCTACATAGATCCTTATCTACCTTCTGCTCACCCTTAATTTATGGGATGGGAGGCACAATGCTGGAGTGAAGGGTTCTAGGGGAATCAAATACAGGGCAAATTGCTAATCTTATAAACCTCATTTGCAACACACGGCTATGGAATGTGCAACTAGTTAATTAGTAATATTTAATCACTCCTCTCTCTCTCTCTAGGGGTCCTTTAGCTCTTTGCTTAATCTTATGACTTAAGAAGCATCCAGACTCAGGAACATTATAAAATATATAGACTGCTATAAAGTAATTACTCATATAAATGCAAATTGGGGAGCATATTTAAAATGCAGCTAACTTGTTTTTAAAAGTAGGGTTTTAAAACTGTATAACCAAGTTGGAGAAATTTCCCACCAGGACCTATTTATTGTTTTTAAGCAATTGCAGCCAGCAGTAAATCAATATTTCTGACAGCACGATTTAATGATGAGGCACTGTCTGAGTCATATTTCAGCATCGTGCGCATGCTTTGCTATTATTCACAGGGCTGGCTCCCTTTGATACACTGCAGTTCATAAACATGAATCAGACAGGTTTTCTCCAGAGGACTGGCTCCTTTCTGACGCCTGCCATGTTTCCTCCTTGCGTAAGTTCTTTCTAACAGTAGTGTGATCCCAGCCCTAGAGGCTTGTCATGAATACAGATTCTTCAGCCTCAGAGAGAAAGCAAAGGAAACATTGTGAAAACTGAAGTTTGAGGACTGCAAATCATAACTGTGCTTCATCCCCAAACTCTCAAGAAATGTGGGTTAACGGCTCAAAGGTTGGCCCTAGGAAAATCAGAAGAAGATAGGCCCATGGCTTCTTTCTCTGTCTCTCTCTTTTTTAAAAAAAATATGTAGTCCTACTGCATTTAAGAAATGATGCAGCAATTTCCCACTACCTGTACCAATTGGTAATTTGATTTACATTGTCTGATGCTATTATATGCTTACAGCACAATTCTACACGTGTCTGCTCAGAGGTCAATCCCATTGTGTTCAATGGAGATTACTCACATAGAATCACAGCCCCTGTACATTTTATATTGTCTATGAGTTTGGATGCTTTTGAAGTCATAAGCCTGTCTCTCCCGTCCATTCCCAGATTCTGCTTCTCTCACTGATGCAGCAGAATGAACAAAATTTGAAAGCAAGCTTCAATTAGGCAAAAACAGGATGTTTGTTGCTTTTATTTCTTCCCCATAGTAGAACCACACGGACTCCCTGATGACATTTATCTCCAATTTTCCACCATTGTCCTGTTACTAATCTTCATACATTTTCTGTGCTAAGAGCCACTGATGACAACAGCAAGTGAAATGCTATCAAGAAACTGAACAAGGCTATACCGCCTCCTTGTCTATTTTCAGATTGCACCTTCAGGCATAACCTTGAATACTTGGCTTGGGACTGTGTAGCTGTCATCTAGTCGTCATCTTCACATAGGAGTGTATTGTGAATTTGCAGGTGAGGTTCTGAGCCCCCCTCACCCTGGAGCATGCACAGACCATCATCAGCCTGACGACAGACTAGTACAAATATAGAATAGAGAGAAAGGAACTGCTCGGGCAGAGAGAGAAAAGCCTTGGTTCAACTGCTTCTAACGCCAAAATCCATTTCCAGAGATAAAGTGAGTGGGTTTTCAGAACAGGAGGTGGGAAATTTAAGAAACATGCATGAACATCGTTCCTAAAGCTTTCCTAGCTCCAAGAAAGAAAGCAGTGCAGATGAGAAACGGTCAGGATTTGGTGCCTCAAGAACATGGAAAAATTCTCTTGTCTTTCTCATTCCTGTGTAAAACAGGAATAGAGAATTTGTGGTCCTTCTGAGGCCGTTGGACTCAAATTCCAGTCAGCCCCAGTCAGCATGCTCAATAGTCCGGGATGATGGGAGATGTACTCTAGCAATATCCACCCAGAGTGGTCACAGGTTCTCCTGCTGTATAGGGAATCTATTTACAGCTACTTCCAGAGGATTTTATTGGGTGCCAGCCAGGGGTACTTATTCAGCGCATCTGATGCCATTATATATACCTGCAAGCTATATTTGGATAAGAGGAACCTTGCTATAATACAAGGAAATAAACTAGAGGACCATCATGTCACCTTCAGCTGTACATTTTTATGATCAAGCGCTAGGGAGGTGAGAGAGACAACTGGAATAATCAGATCTAGCCATTAAACTTCAGTCATAGGGTGAGTCAAAGTCTGGGAACAGAGAGTGACAAAGGAAGCTCTATTTTTGGCATCGGAACCTCTGGGAAGGGATTAATATCCACCTGTGAGCTTTTTTCGTAGAAAAACTGCTGGACATTGCTTGTGAAACTGGCACGCATGTGTCACACCCCCTCCCCTCCATGTCTCCGTCTCAGCTGGTGTGTCAATGGTACAACATGCCCCATGCCAATCTTTACATAGATTAGTGGCAAAATAAAAACATAATCCTCCCTCATAATGCAAGGAGGGATTTAGGGGGAGGTGGGCGAGCTTTGCACACCTTCGGATATGCAAAGGGAACCTCTTGTAGCAAAACTCTGTTCCCTGAAGTAATCGGCTCCTTCTACCCATGTTTTAAATGCAAGTTGGATATTGTGCCCCTGCCAGTGGATTCCCGTTACTGCTACATTACCACTAAAGTGTATATTTTGCATTTCCCACCCCTGTGCCTGGGGGAAAGGCCCTCAGATTTGATACTCATTTTACTAGCCCCACTCCTGTAACGAAGTGCCAAGCTCTTCCTGAGTTCTTAAAATCTGAGATCCCACAGCAAATTGCACAACCTGATTCGAATTCGTCATCTTTGGGAGGTAAATATTGTTTCTCCTCATATTCACGAGACAGTAGCACAAAGCTCAAAAACATGTACTACATCTCAGCTTCTTTATTAACTAGATGTACCATCCCTAGGAAGTAGCTTTTATATTTGTATGACTGAAAGTGCACTTGGCAGAAAATCGCTATTGAAAACCAAGGTGAAGGGCCATCCATAGAATTAGTCTGAACCAATGTACAGCTGAGGCCAGTTCTTCCGTTTTCAAGGTTTATTATGCCAACATGTCCTTTGGCTGAACTCAACCCCCTGTTACATATGAAATAATAAGGGTTCTGCGAAGGTGAGTAATTGCAGCACAAAATGGAGGAGGCCGAGATGCACTTCTGGGGGGCACCAAATCCCGAGGGAGAGTGACTCACGCTCAAAACTGATTTTAGGCTCTGTCTCCCTCATGGGCAAACAAGAGAAGATTAGAGGGGGGCCAGGCAGAATCCTGTAGCAGCCTAAAGGTTCTGCAGCGGCTCAAGAAGAGATATAATTAAAGACACGTTTGATCTATTCATTTACTTACTTAGGGCTAGTTTACATGTTATCATAGCCATGTGGTGGTGGCCGCTTGAAGCAGCGTGTGATTATTGCTCCGAGCGATTGCTGTAATGTGCAGCCTGCTGTGTGGAGACTCTCACGGCTGGCAGTGCCATGGAAACCCTCCGCGCAATCAGGCAGGCCACTTTGCACGTCACAGCAGCCTTGCAGAACACCTGCAGCCGCTCCTCAGAGGGCAAGAGATACAGGCTGGAGTTTGTTAAGTTGTGGGTGAACATATCAGACAACACAGTGATTCTTCAAACAGCTCTTGTTTATTCACAGGCCAGAACAGAACTGAACTGAAGGGTTCAGCCAGCCTGCTTATATAGAGCTCCACTACAACACAACTGTAACCATTTCCTGTAACTATCCAATCACTGAATGTCACTTTCAATCCCCTATTTGCATATGTGGACCTGAGTGAAAACTATCTACAGTATCCCCCTGCTGGCCCAGGGTGAGAACTTCAGTACATAACAGAGTTCATGAAAATGTGCATTATCATGAATCTGACACAGAGCTGCCACTGAGTCTTGCATTTCGTAGCTATTTGGCGCCAATGTTTATTCTGCCACCTACACACATACCCATGCACCCCCTTTCTATACTGTACACAGTTTTGGATTGCCTGGAGGCACCACCTTGCAAAAGAGTTTCAGCAGCCTGCCAATGTGTTTCCCTTGGAACTAATTTTTAGATGAAACTGGTGGCCTGTGGCTATATCTCATGCAGTCCACAGAATCCCTGGTGGTCCTGTCCCTTCCGTCCCAAGAGATTCCAGATAGAGGTGAGCCCTGAAGAACTTGGAAAGGTATCCTAGGTAGATCTGAGCTCTCTGAATGTACGCATCCGGCATTACGTAAGAGGATGGTCTAACATCCACTTCATTTTGTTCCCCTATCGCAGAGAAGGTTAAGTGATTTAGAACTGCCTGCATTAAAGCACCATGTCTGTTTTAACACAGCAAACCATGAGAAACATTTCACGGGCTTCCTGCAAGAGGTATTTGGCTGCCTTAGAAGGGGAGGGAAAAGCCTGTCACTCATCAGTGGCACAGACACTGTCTAACAGGTCATGACACACAGCAACCGAGTTACCAGTGTGAAAGCTATCTGGAAGGGAGAATCACATACAATTTAGGCACTGAGAAACTCTGAACAGCCCAGCAGCAGAACTGTTACTTGGAGTGGAGAGTATCTCTGGCCACTGTGTTTCTGCTGGCCTCCAAAAGCCCAAAGCAATTGGTAAAAGAGTTTGCAATCTTTTAAGCTAAACAGAACATTCCGTTGTAGGCTGCATACGGAAATTCAACTCCCTGCCTGGAGGGCTGCCTGGGGCACTAGTGGTCACTAGCAGTAGTTTCTGGCTATGGAGGAGTTGTGTTGCTTTTTGTGTGTGGTAATGCAGGGGTGATATGGTGGGGCTGTATCCCTTTCATGGTTATGTGACATTAACATATGAGAGTGCTGGAGGTGAAATAGTTAAACAGGTTACCCAATCAGAACCCAGGGGGTGGAGTCAGAGGGACTATAAAACCAGCTCTGAGGGAGTTCGTTGGGAGTTGGGTGGTTGGTTGGAGTGGGAGTGAATTGGAATAGAGTCTGTGGGTAGGTTGAGTTAGTGTAGTGAAATAAGCTTAGTCAGAAACCGTTAGGGGCTAGGAAGACAAGTAAATATCTGAGAGGTGGTTTAGTAAGTGAGAGCAGGTAGCGGAAGTTATAAGTCTGGATAGGCACCCCATGATTGTAATTGACCGATACCATTTATGAAACCACACGCTTGTTAAACTGCAATAAATAAACAGAAGTTTATGTTCCAATTTAACCCTGACTGGACTCAGTATTGTACCAGGTAAGGGCCTGGGTGGTGGCAGCGAGAAATAGTGGTGGCACAGGGATCAATAGACAGTGAAACGTCCGGGGACCCTGTGTGATCGCCACAGGTAAATTCATTGGCTCCATGTGTAAGAATGACCTGGGTGTGGTCACAAGCGGTCCCTGATTGGTTGTCACTGATGGTGTTTCAAGGTCACTGTGGGGGATGTGTGTCTGTGATCATTGCACGTTTTTGTACTTTCCGGCTGTTTCCCCTCTCCTTTCCTGGGCTGAACATGACATGGCAGTCTTTCTACCGGCAGAAATCTGGTCTAACGCGAATATACCGTAGGATTGCTCTTCCCAAGGAAGGCATCTTCTGAGAGGGAACTCTAGACTTGGATTGACTTGTTGATACAATAATGCCAATAATCTATGTGATATTTCCCTTAGTCTCCATTATCTGAAGATAGACTACCCGATCTATTCAGAGGTTATCTTTTTGCCTCAGTAGATTAGCCATCAGTAACACCAAATATATCTGCCTTTTTCATTGTTGGATCTAAGAGGTCTGCAAGCACGAAACTGTAAAAAATATTTTTATAAAAATACATTTTAAAAATTCCATTCAACTTTTCAAATGTTTTTCACGTTTATTTATTTGAAAGCTAATAGAAGTCAAAAGGAAAGGGGAAAAGAACATAATATAAACAGGAGATCACAATCTATCCTGCCGGTGAAGTAAGACTACAAAAAATAGTTCCAGGATTTCATGCAGCCTTTGCATGAGATGTTTAATTGCACATGCACATGTACAAAAATATCCAATCAATTTATTTATTTTAATGTCACAGTTAAGCTTATTTGTATTCAATACATGTACAGTGTTTAGATCCCATTGCATCGAGCAGGATTTCGTTGTCTAGGCTTGTGGGTTCGGGCTGACATCCAAGTGCTGCATGTGATTCTGTGTGTGCACACAGAGGCTTTTCAAGTCTCTTCCTTTAAGCAACGGTTTCTATTTCCCAAATGCCACACCCAAGGTAGCAGATTCTCTAGGGAAGTATTCTATGGGGCACTGAGGGGCTGCCACTGTAAGGAGGAAAAATGGCACTCCCAAACCCACCAATGGGAACTGTCTGGATCCTATGTATAGTCATGGTGTTGGGAAAATAACCAGTGGCTATCTGTAAGAGTGGATATCCATTTAAAGAGTTTAGGGAAAGTATTTTATCTCTAAAACAAATAATCCACACTAATGTTTAAGAAGAACATGCATTCCACTTCCATTTCACAGTCAGTATCCAATTACTGTATCTTTGTAAAAAAAAAACTGCCATGAAACTTTATTGGGGATGACAAAAGTGAAATGCAGAATCTGTAGTGCTTTCATCTTTGCTATAAGAATAAAAACAACTGTTTATGTACTTTTGCTGAAGAACGTTTTCTAGATTACCATTCTGTTTGAGTGACATCTAGCAAATGTTTCAAAAGTATTTCTGGAGTTCTGATAATCTTCTACTACTTCTATTATTACTAAACATGTAAAACAGAATTCTAAGTCTTACAGCATAGCCAGTTGTGAATTCCAGTCCCCCCCCCCCCGTTTTTTCTTTAAAGTGTCTAGTCATCATGATTGCTGAGAACAGATGGAATATATGAAGGCAATGCTTGGCTAAAAACTCACTAACTTAAAGAAGCATTTGGAATGGACAGTGGTAAGGAAATGGGAGACCATGTTCCCCCCACATTTCTCATTCCTTCAGGCTGCAATCCTGTATCCACTTACCTGGAAGCAAGACCTATGGTACAAAATGGGAATTACTTCTGACACATATAGGCAACCCTATCCTTGTAGAGCATTGCACCTTTAGCTCCTAAATCTTGTCCCTGATATTTGCTGTCCTTGCACATGCATTTATTGCCTTCTATGACTCATACTTTTAAAAAAATCCATTCTGCGAAAACATTTCCCCCGTTAGAATAATTTATGCAAAGAATATACTTATCTGCAATCTTCGTAATTTTGGGTAGTCTATTTTGAGTGCAACATTTGGATTCACTTGCAGGGTGGCACAGGAGTTGTTGACTTGTTATATATGGCATGCGTAGTTCAGGATCATTTTATATCGGTGGTACCCAGGGCTAGCCTGAGATAACCACAAAATTGTGCCCCACCACCACCCACCATGGAGGAAAGGGTGAACAAGGATCTACATCAGAAACCAGGAGGAAGCGAGGAGCTACACTGGGAATAAGGGGGGGGGGAATAAAGATTGAGGTCTGCTACCCCTGTGGATCCTGCGGCCAGATGTGTTCACCGCACCAGGCCTCATGTGTGGGCTGACCTTGATGCCACCCAACTCCCAACTCTGGATGACCTTTTCCAGCTGTTTCCTGTAGATGCTAAATAGCATGGGAGAAGCATGAAACCGTGAGAGACCCTGAAGGTCAATGGACCAAACCACAGAGTCCAGCACCACCTTCCAAGAAAGTCCTACATGGTTAGGGCTCATCTGCCCACACATTAATAAAAAGGTAGTGCCTACATTCTTGCCTTTTCAGGATAGTCCACTAGTGGGCCTAATGGTAACTTTTCGAACAAGATAGTGCCATCTCCTGGCCAAATGTGATTATTTGCACAAAGTACCACCTAGGAATAAATGTAAGAGCGAGCCTTTGGGTTGCATTCAACTTGCACTCACGGTACACCTATTGAAATTAACGACCGCGACTAACTTAGGTCCATTCATTTCAGTGGGACTACTCTGAGTAATAGTTGACTGCAACCCTTTGAGAATGTTTAAATTATAGCAGTTTAAACACATCAAAAACGTTTATTTTATTTTTTTAAATATAAAATTATTAAAGATTTTATTGGTTTACAAAAGTATGTGCATTGTCTGAGGGATCTAAAATTTAATGCTCTGATTTAAATGCCTTTATGTGTAGATTAACCACTTAAAGCAACACATGGCAAATAGATATCATGGATGCAACAGAACAATGGGAGAATTTTGGGTTGAGATGGATCTCCAGTAGTACCATCTGTAATCAACTGAGAGAATATTTGCACCATTTGAACAATCCCTTCCAGAAGTTTAAATTAAGCACTTAAAAAAAAAACAACCCACACTAACAAGGCTACCCTTAAATATACATACATATATATATATATATATATATATATATATATATGACTTCCGGGGTGGTGCCATCAGCAATGGCGGACTCCCTCTGATCTGGAGGGACTAGCTCCACGCGAAACGGGTCTTTTCCGCTACGGCGAAGCGGGGACCCTTTCAAAAATCACAGGCGGATGAAGCCTGTGACCATGGGACTCGGCAGGCACCTTTAGCGCCCCCCCAACCCGCAAAAGAACCCACTAACGGGCTCCGGAGCAGAGAGGGGGAAGTGGTGTGGTGCTGAGAGTCAACTGCTTCTTCCGTGGAGCGAAGCCGCACAGCTGTTGCCGGAGAGTGCTGCCTTTTTCCTGGGACAATTTGGCTTCTAAAATAATCACCCGTGAGTACTTAAATTTCGGACAATTGGACTTTAAATAAGGACTTGCGAGCAGAAAGGAAAATTGGACTTAAAAGTTTACCTCAATTTGGCACTGAAACGGGAAGGTCTAAACAGGAAGTCAGCCTTCCGTTTCTTTGTTGATAGATTAAAGCAAAGACATGGCAAACTAGAGCTCAGAAAATCGCTTGTAAAAGATTAACTTTCATCATTTAAAATTGTTGAACCCCCCTTCGGAAGCAGGAGAAGAGGGGGGATTTTTTTGGACTGTTTAAACCTGCAGAAGTGAGTGTAAAGTAAAGTAACTTTCCACCGTCCTGATCCTGGAGCGGGGTGTCAGGACTGACGTTTTTTTGAAGCTCATTGACCAGAGACAAACGTTTTTGACAGATAGCTATAAGAAGAGAAACATTGGTTCCATTGTTCCCCTTCGCATTTTAAAGGAACAAATATTGACAAAATATCTGAAAAAGGAAACTTTGTTGTTAGACTTGTCTTTAAAAGAAAGAACAAATAGAAGTTTCCCCCCTAGAGAGAGACTGTGAAACTGTAACCAACTCCGGGGAGCTTGCAGCTGTTACAGATTACAATCGTGGGAATAGACTTCTGACCTTGCAGGACAATGTATTCAGAAGCTCTGTTGCGTGCTTTCTGTAAAACAAATGCCCTACTGGAACAGCTACATGAGAAGACGGACTTGATGGCTGATGCGATCAGAAATTTTGAACAGGCAGTGGGAAATTATACGGAGCCCACCCAGGAATTAAATCAGGAGTGTGCCCTGACAGAACAGAGGAGGGAAGAGGATGTTGCTGAATCTTGGGCGCCAGAGATGAAGGGAGCTGTGGCCCATCAGGAACATGAGCTTTTGGACTTGACAAATGAACTTGGAAAAGCCAGATTTGGAAAGATAAAGTTTGGTTTGGTTTGGAAATGGGGGTTGGATAGACCCCTATGCAGGGATGTTTGGACCTTTCAAGTCTGGCAATGGGCCGTGAGATGTTTGGGGTTGTGGGGGCTCTTAATTTTGGAGGGATTTTGAAACATGTTCTTAAATACCACATGGAGTTTAGTGTGGTCTATGGAAAAGGGGATGATTTGTCGAGAAGGGTCAAAAACATTGTTAAGCTGGAGTTCCCACGAGTGAAAGGAGCAGGAGACAAAGGAAAATACAGTTATAAATATGAAGAAGAGCTGCGGAAGGGACATGGAAGAGACTTAAGGGCCTCGGATACAAGGTTACCAGGTTAATGCGCTAGATCGATGGGATAATAAGGACTGACAAAACCCGGGACCAGGAGGAAGGGACGCTGGATGAAGACTGGATTGATTTTATTTCTTTTTTTTACTACTAGGATTGTTTTATAAAATTGATGAATGTTAGAAAAATGTTGGAATGAAATTACTTCGCTTTAGCAAAAATGTTTAAATGGCAAAAATAAGATTTAAGTTTTAAGCTTTAAGATTCTTTATAGTAAGATAAGATTAAAATAGATTAAGGTAATGTAATGACAGAATATTATGAAATATGGAAAGGATTTGCTGTGACAATTAACAACTAGGATACAAAAAAAGGGAGGAGGAGGAGGTCAAAGAAAGAAGGTAATGACAGTTGAGGATATAAGAATGATGGATTTGTTTTTGAGTGTTTGTGGTGTATTTTTGTTTTTTGAATTTGTATTGTTTGATGTGGAATGTTTTTTCTTTGTTTTTTCTTTCTTTTTTCTGTTTTGTTCTTTTTTGTAATTCTAAAAATTTTCAATAAATATCATTTAAAAAATAAATAAATATATATATATATTATGGTGAACATTGACATTATTTCTCAGTTAGATTAGATTAGATGTGCCTTCCACTAGCAAAGTTGTTCTGTACAAATGTTACCATCTTAGGATTCATCATATACTCTTTTGTCTTTGCTGGCCTGTTGCTTGAAATGTCAGATTTGGCCATGGTGGCACATGCCTGAGTGACATCCCAGTGGGACTAACATAATGCACTTTTCTTGGCTGCCTTTGAAAAGTCTTCAGAAGCTTCAGCTGGTCTGGACGGCTGACCGGGGCAGGTTACAGGGAGCACGTTCCTTCAGTTAAAACTACACTGCCTACAGCTGGTCTATTTCCTGACACAATTCAAAGCACTGGTTATGACATATAAAGCCCTATGTGGCTTGGGGCCAGGTAACCCGAGCAATTTATCTCCCTTTACGAACCTTGCCCAGGTGCTAAAGATCCTTGGGTGAACACCTTTCTTCCATCCCATCACCGCCAGAGGCCCAGTTGGTGATGTAACGAGAGGGCTTTTTCTGTGGCTGCTCCCACATGGTGGAACTGCCTCCAAGAGAGGTTAGATTGGCTCCCTTTTTGTCCTCTTTCCACAGCTTCCTATATTGCAATAGATGCAGACAATCTTTATTGAGCAATCAGTATTTTAATGCTGCTTCAAAATGTATTCTCTTGTATTTCAACTATTGTTTTGAACTAGCTTGTTTTTATTACTCTGCATTTTATACCAATGCTTTTAAAACGTTGTAAGTCACCTTGAATTCCAACCTGGGAGAAAGGTGGGATATAAATAGATTAAATAAATAATATCAATTGAGAAAAGCATTTCACCTTTCCTCTTTAGTATGTCAACATGACTGGATGGAAATAAATGGAGACAAACATGAGACATGTTCTGAGGAACTGTTCCATTATCTTCAACCATTTTGACTCACATTTAAGAGAGAGGTTTTACAGTATTTTGAATCTACACGACCCTGAACTCTTAATATACTACTCAGCTATAGTTCACAACTAGTAAGTGTTCTGAGAAGAACATAGGCTATAAATACCTGTTTGTTTGTTTTTAAAGCAAAATCATTGCAAATTATTTTCAATAATATAATATATTCAGCAGCGGATTATGTTTTCTGCTTTGTTCTTGAAGACGTTCAAATACATAATTAAGACTTCAACATGATCTAGCCTAATGAATATGTCTCGGTTCAGTTATGTTAAGATTTTGAAGCTTCATGTCAGCTCCTTTCCTCTGTGTTGATTATAATTTTCGACTCTTCACTGTGTTTAGTTCATACTTCCACATGAGGTCATTTTTATTTATTATATACAGTTGTGGAATTGGGCTGACAGGGAAATGGGGGAGACTCTTTTTGGACTAAATGAGACAGTATAAATTTAACAAGTACATGTAATAAAAATAAATACAGCAGTTTGTTCAAGGTCATTGAGTTATGGCCGGGCATGGATTTTAACATATGTCAATAGCCAGAACTACAGAACCATGTTAAGCCAGTTGGGCTTTTTTCAAGCAAATCACAACAATATTAAAAGAAGCCCAATTTCCTGGTAAGTCTTCCTTCCAACTATTAGCTATGATGGGTAAATGGAACAATCAAATGCAGTGGGGTATTTGGTGGAATGAATAGATAGGGAAGGTTGTTGCCCTCATGCTTTGCATGTGGGGTTCCTGGGGGCATCTGGTTAGAGAGCCTAAAGAGATCTTTGGTCCGATCTATTAGGACTTTTCTGGTGTATGTCTAAGAACCGGATACAGTCAACATGCAGGCCTACCAGGAGTGGGCAGACTTCAGGCTGGTGGGATCTACTGTGTGTGTCTGTGTTTATAGAACCCTGAAGTCCACCAACAGGTGCAAAACGTTATTATTTTATTTTTATAATTGTTAATTTATTAATTGCCTTATACACAATTGTCTCAAGGCAATTTTACACATCTGAAATCCAGCACATGCTCAGCCCAATAATTTCTTTTCAATACCAGAATGGAGCTCACACAGCTTCTTACACAAACATCGCCTCCTAGTTTTACCCCAAATTTGAGAATGAACGCAGGAGAGGCCTGCCTTTCGCCTTGAAAGGAGAAGCCTGCTTGAGAGAAGGTATCATATCACATCTTCAAATATCTCTCACATGGAAGATGGAAGCATGCTTGGTTTCTTCTGCTCCTGAGTGTAGGACCCAAACCAACTGGCTTCAAGTTACAAGAAAGGAGATTCCAACTAACTTTTTGACAGTGGGATGGGCTCCCTCAGACTCGAAGGGTTTTAAAGCAGAGGTTGGATGGCAGCCCCAGTTTAGGGGAGTATTTAATGATGTTTTATTGTGTTTTCAACATTTTGTTGGGAGCCGGCCTGAGAGGCTTTGGCAACCCAGTCTGAGGGGCAGCATACAAATGATAAAAGTGTTGTTGTTGTCATCTGCCATGGATGCTTTAGTTGCGATTCCCGTGCTGCAGAGGGTTGGACTACTAGATGACCCTTCCAAGTCTACAATTCTTAGGGAGGGAAAACGACGAGCAGCCACTTCCCGCCCGCCCTTGGCGGTGGCCACGGGCTCAATCCTGTTCCTGCCTTAAAACGAAACTCTGCAGAGGTGCTTTAGGGCCGCGGGGTAACTCGGGGCTCCCGCCGCTCCCCAACCCCGCCTGGGACGGAGGCGCCGCGGACCCTGCCCGGGAGAGAGGCTTCCTGCTGCCTCCGAGGAGCCGAGCAAGGGAGGAAGGAAGGAGAGGGCGCTTCTTCCCGCCCCCGGATCCGCTCCCCGCTGGCAGAGGCGCTGCTGGGCGGACGAGAGCAGCGCGCAGTCCTGGCCCAGGAAGGAGCCTCGTCCCTTCCCCGCCCGGGGCCAGGCGGAGCCAGCAGCGGGAGGAGGAGGAGCAGCGGGTGAGAGGTCGGCTAGCTCCGGTCGCCCATAGAGACGGCGGAGTCCCGAGTTGCGAGGGCGGCGGCGGCGGCCGGAGAAGGGGCTGAGGCGGCGAGGCGCACGGTAAGGAGGGCGGGCGCGGCGCGGAGTCGCCGCCGCCGCCGCCGGAGGGAGCGGGAGCGAGGGAGGAGGGCCTCCCCGGGCCACAGGCAGCGCTGCTCTTTCCTGCTTCTTTCTCCGCCCGGGCGCTGTCCCCGCCTCCCGCCATTGCAGCCGCCGGGCCGAGGACTGCCCCCTCCGCGGCCGCCCGCTGCCTTTCCTCGGCCGCTCGAGGCGCGCAGAGCCGTCGTCGCGGGGAGCGGGAGAGCCTTCGGCTTGCTGCCCCCGCCGCCTCTTCCTGGCCGCGGTGCGGGGCGCTGAGCGAGGCGTGGCTGCCGCGCGCGGGCGGGCGCCTCCCGGGCTCGCTAGGCCACTGTTTCCACGCCACCAGCGCCGGGTCGTGGGGAGAGGGTGGGTTGGCTCCTTTTTCTCGAAACGAGGTGTGCTAGGGAGTCCGCACCCGGAGGGTGGCTCTTGTCCCGTGTTAGAGAACATGGAGGGTGATTCTGGGTATGTGTGAACGTCGGAAGAGTTTTCGGGCTGAAGGTCCGTCTTGTTTCCAAAGTGGCTTGTTTCCAAAATGGCTAGCCAGATGTTTCTGGGAAGCCCCCAAGCAAGGACCAGAGTGCTAATCTAGTAACTTGCCTATAGATTCTGGTTGATTCTAGGGTGGTGCACAACAACACCACCACCACCACAATATTGATAAAGAATTGCATCAACATACCTATCATAACAGTAAAACTTGTTTCAGGACCTAAACCTGGAGCTTCCATTTAGCTATTATGACTGTTACGGTAGTGTTGAACTGCCAATGGTGCATTTCTAGAATCCCCATTTAAAACCATCTTGAGTTTTCTGCTGTTGCCACATCTTGTTGGCTCTGATGGGAAGAAGCAGGGCAATGTGAGGTTGCTACCTGAGGTGCCTTGGGTTGCTGGATGGGTCTGTCTTCCATAATTGCACAGAGGCCAAAGTAGATACAATGGACAGATATAGACTAGTCCAGCCTTCTCCAACCTGGTGCCTTCCAGATGTTTTGGACTACAACTCCCATCAGCTGGAATAGAGTACCAGCAAAGCATTGTTGAGTTCTCGCACCGTGTGCATTATCTGCTTTCATTTCTGAGTTTCAGTTACCAATGAGACCTCACAGTAGGGTCAGAAACAGTATCAGTGCCTCAGACAGCAGGCAAGCACTGCATACAAGGCTGCTATCCTATTATGCTGCAGATCGGCTTTTGCTTGATGATGGATATTCGGCACTGATATATATTTATTGGCTAGAAGATAATGTGGCTGGCTGTAATGTTTAATAAAATGGTGGTTACCTACATAACCATACTGCATCGCTGGTGTCCTTGCCAACCATTATGGCTTAATGATGCTAATTATTCCCTTTTAGTTCTGTGGCTTCTTTAGTACAGTGTGGCTGCTCCTGGTTTCCAGTGTGTCCAAAAGACGATGAATGGTGCTGGCCTGCAACACTCCCAGCTCATTTTTGCTGATGGTTGGTGCTGAGCTACATTGTGGTGACTGCCGTGGAGAAAGGGTCACTAAAGCAGAGGGCCCTCCAAGATGTTGGTCTCCAGTTCCCATCAGCCCCAGCCGGCGTGGGCAGTGGTCAAAGATGATGGTAGCTGTCACCCAATAACATCTGGAAGGCCAGCGGATCCCCACCGCTGCACCAAAGACACGTAGTCAGCATTTACCTAGTGGTGTTTGAACTCTGCATTTCCGTAAGAAACACGCCATTCTTCTGTTGGGAGTTTCAGAAGGGTAGAATTTGTAAACGAAAGCAAGAAATTAATGTACAGTTGTGCAGAAGTGGCTCACCATGTGGGGCAGAGCTGCTGGGCTTTCCAGCATGTGGGTCGCTGTTGCTTACCAAGAGGGGCGGGGGGAGGACAAGGTGGCAAAGAGTTTGGTGTGCCATGCCTGCCTCCCTCCCAGTAAGCAACAGCATCCAGCCTACAGGGAAGCTAGTGCAGCAACTCTGCCCCACCCAGTGAGCCACCTCTGCTTCCGTGGAAATAAAATACAAGGAAAACAAAGCAAGCTATGGGGTCTGTGGTGAGGTTTTCCGTATTCTCCTGCTCCTTGAAGCTGCTTGTGTTTAGTTTCTACCAAACTCCCATGCTTTTATGAAGGAGAACCTGATAAAACTGCTCCCGTAAGTCATCTTGATGCTGTTGCAAGCAAAAGGAAAAGAATGGTAGTTGTTCTAGCCTGAACTTAGTGTAACTCTTGACTGTGAGCTGCTAGAACAATAATAAGCATCATATAGCTGGTGTCTGCTGGATATTAAGTGCACTTTTCTCCCGAAGGAAACAGCATGAAAGGGAAGAGTCCACAAAATGTTGGCTTGACTTACTACCCAGCCGTACTCCATAGTTGCCGCTGACTCCATCCCCTTAGCCTTCTGCATCTGCTAGAGAGCTTGGGAAAAGAAGGGGGCATCTCATATCACACTGGGAGTGGGCTTTAATCTTGCATGCACAGTATGCTTCTGTTCAGTGTAATTTAAAAGAAACACCCCTTCCTGACTGTAGTGTGTGTGTGTTGTCACGGGGGAGGAGGGAGTGTCTCTTAACTCTCCCCACAAGCACTGCACAGTGCGAAGGCCCCCTTCTTCCCTCTCAAGGTGAGAGGCAGGAGAGGGTTTCTCAGGTTACACTGAGTAGGGGCCCTTGACCCGCAAGCTGCAGCGCAGGTGGATTTATGGACGCCTACTGATCGGAAAGTCTAGTCACAAGAAAAATCGCACAGCGAGAACATAAGGGAGTTTATTTAACAAGTTCTGTCATGTTTAATGATAGTCTTGCTTGCTATGGAGGTGAAACATAAAGCTTACTGGATAGTGAAACCTTGCAGAGTGAGATTAAACTTTGCTTCTTCTTACACTTTAGCTGTTTCAGACCCAGCATTTTTAATGCTGGAATCTTCCATTTTGTACACATTTGCTTCGTATACTTGTAATCGTCAACTCATTTTTATCTCTTTCCGCTTGAAACCCCCCCCCCCCCCATTAAAGCTTTCTCTCAGGCTGGGGGAACCCTTTTCAGCCTAAGGGTCACATTTCCTCATGGGCTCACCTGCTAGCTGTGGGCAGGATCAGAGACAAAGAAAAGTGAGCGGAGCAATAGGTGTGACTCTTACAGTAACCTGTATTTTTAGCTACAACCCCCCACCCCAAGGTTTTTGCATAAACACTCCGCATGCATTGTTTTTGTTCATTATTTTGTTATGTATATTTTATACTGTAAACTGCCCTGTAAACCTGAGATGACGGGCGGCATAGAATTTTAATAAATATTAATAATAAATTTTTTTTTGATCCTCCAGTCAAGGAAGAGGCAGAATCACAGTTCAAGGACACATTTCAGTTGGCAGAAGCACTTGAGGAGAGTGCAGAACAGGGTTGTTAAGAAGCAGGGTCCTGGGATAGGGGGCATGGACTGGGAAGAGTTTTGAAAGCCAAGTAGAGAAGCTGCAATGTGGTTCTCCCCACCCAGGCCTGATGTTCCCAATTGCTACTTAAACTGCAGCTTTTATATTTTTATTAACTGTTGTTAAAGTTCCAGAAACGGAAAGATTTATGCAAGTACCAAATGAAGTTTGTCTCGGTTTTGGATAGCAAACTTTGTGCCCTTAAACATGGTGAGATTCCAAATAAATGCCTGTCTCCTCTAGATAATAATGTTAAAATCATAACAAATGATTCACAAAATAGAGAGCAAGTTCTCCAGAACTCTTTATCAGGCTAGTTCTTAAGCAAAGCAGAAGGGGAGGGGGTGTGAAATGAAACAAAACAATACAAAAAAGTAGGGAGATGTTGTAGCCATGAAGTCTGTGTTTAGACTCTCTTCCAAAATGGAGATTGCAGAATAAATTGCTGTCTGCTAGGTGCTGCAAATATCGGGTTACGTCTAGGGTTCTGTGATAAAGAAGCAATGGGTGATCCCCGTTTCTGAAAACATAAATCCTGTCAGTTATCCAGAACTGTATTGTGTCTTAAGCAACACGCGCAAGTTCTTGCTTAGGAACAGAGTTAAATATGTTCCAAATAGAGGAAGATCCATAGCTCAGTGGCAGTGCACGTTTTTTATTTTCCATCAAGGCCATCAAGGCAGCTGACAAGATAACTCAGTAAAAGAATAGAGCTGAAACTAAATAAGACCACAGCGGCGGGGGGGGGGGGATCAGGAGTGGTTATATACAACATTTGTCCCAATATCCCACCCAAAACAGCTTTTTACTTTTCTAAAGTTTAGTTACAGTATATTATCAAGCAGTCATTGTATTTGAAAACAAACTGCAAAATATATAATAACTAAATCTTTGAATAGAGCAAATTAAACAAACCAAAGGAGTATGGTCTATTGGAAAATTGTACTTAAAGCCGTAAAATAGGCACATATTACAAATTCAATAATAATAAATAACCAAATCAGTTGCCCTACCATGTCAAGGGAAATTCATCACAATACTAAGCTTACATTTGTTCATAAGCAGGCTGAGTCTCAGATGAGTCAGAGCAAAGCCTCTGATGTTAATCTGAGATCCGGGGTAAACTCTTAAGGTAGGTGTCCTAAAGATACGTCAGCTCAATGCAGAAAATCAGCACCCAGAGACATTTTCTGAATGTTTCAATATTTTACAATATTTACAATACAATTTACAATACAATACAATTACAATTACAATTTACAATATTTATAAACCACTTCACATATAGAAGCAATGTACAATAAAATAAATGAGATTTGAAAATTATATAGTCCCTGAAAACAATAACACAGTTTCTACAATTGTGCAATTAATATTTCAATAAATGTCTGGGCTGCAGTTCCAGGAAATTACAGATATCAAAGTTGTTATATGCTGTCCACGATGAGCCCCAGTTTATACTGTGACCACTGTTTTGAATCCATTGTACTTCATGAAAATTCTGCAAATGGCAGCTCCACATAAAAGTGTGTTACTGTACCCTAATCTGGATGATACTAAGACACGAATGGCAGTGGCCAGGTCTGTTTTATTCAGAAAAAGCTATGGCTATTGTGCCCGTCTGGGCAGAGCATTCCAGCCCCTACCCCACCCCGCAGTTCTGGGCTGTGGGGTGTTTGGATCGAGTAGAGGTGCCCCTCCTTTACTTAGCACCCAGGGACGGTGTCAGATTCAGGAGCAACCACAAACTACGTACCTGGTTTTAAAGAGACTGTGCCATTCCTAGGCTCTGGTTTAAAGCAAAGCTGCACTCTGAGCAAATCTGTTGAAATAATGGACTAAAATTAATTGTGACTAATTTAAGTCTGTTTATTTCAGTGGGATTATTCTGAGTGTAACTTGGGGAGCTGCTGCTCGCTGGGGTACATAACCCCAGTCTAGGTGGGCTAATGATCTGATTCCGCATAATCGGTGTAAATCTCTGGAAGGCTCTTTTTTTTCTTTTCTTTTTTTAGGAACTTGTGATTCACAGTAGGAACATGAATAATAATAGTTCCTGTGGGTTGAGTGGGTGGGGAACAGAAGGGGAGAATTTGTTAAATTGGAGATTATTCTGTCGAAAATTACCATTGTTACATGATGACTTTCGTAAAGCAATGGCTGAATTGTTATCAGTGTTCTTGTTTGGATAAAAATAGCTTCTTAGGTTTGTGAAAATATTTACAAAATAGTTTAGTTATGGGTGGCAAACCAGTGTTGCTCATTATCAGCACTGTTCTTTAATACTTCTGCAACCACATTCTTTACAGCATTAGGGACCTATTCTTCGTGTCTGTGAAGTAATTGCCTAGTTGTTTTTGTGCACGATTCAAACATCTTCGCTCATGTCAGCACTGGGAGAAAGCAATTTTTGTCTTATCTAATGTGTCTGATGCGGTAATTAGGGCTATGTTGGCTGTTTCATTACAGTCCAATCCTGTGCATGTTTACTCAGAAGTAAGTCCCAGTGAGGCTTACTTCTGGGAAAGTGTTTAGACTTGCCGTCTGAAAACTTAGTACTCATGCTAAGTTTTGCTATATTATGATAACTAATTATACACTCAATATATTTCCCAAGCCTATTATTTCTTGCCTGTTCTAGACAAGCTCTTGCTTACACATAAACTGGTATGCAGTTCAGTATCTGTGGCCACGGGACACAATAGTACTTAATAGTATGAAGGACAGGGCTATTGGAACAATTTTCAGTGCTCATCCTACTTTAAATTTACTACAATTTGTTTCCATGTCAGGAGGCTTGGGGGGTGGTCCATGGAAATACACGCCGCACAAAAGCAGCTGTCTTCAGCTTAACATGGGGCTTCTGTGTACTAAAGTTTGTCCTGTGTTCTTGAAAATTGTGGAATCAGACAGTTATTCATTTATGCTGCCCCCATTGCTTGATTTCAACTTTGGGTGCCACCATTATTGAGGAACACGCTCTTCTGTTTTTATGTTCCCATCTTCTAAAGGTCTCATTATGCTTCACCTGTAGAATTTCATTATGTCTCTGGGACATGAAACTATGCAAGAGCCTCTCCCCTCTGGAAAAGCCTTGTAGATGTTGAGCTGAACACGATACAGCTGCCTTGATGTGATGCTTACATGAGGATTATGTACCGGGAAGTCTTGTCCCAAGTGTTTAAATTTCAGCTGGGGTTCTGTACAACAGAAATAAAACACGTAATATTTTTTTATTTGTGCCTACTTTAATCAGATTCCTTTTTGGCAGTTTAAGAGTACTACAATTTGTTTGCCACATCTTACTTTCACTTTTAGCCATATAAAAGCAAGTAGTTTCAGTTGCTCTTTTTTCCTCGTTCCTGTTCTTGTTGTGTTAGAGATTTAGGCACTGGTAAAAGTTTATGCTTTCAGTGTAGGTCTGGAAGAAGCAAGTATCGTTTTGATCTTGTGCTAGCAGTCAGAAAATAAACAAGTGGCTGATATGTTGGCTAAACAATGTATTCCAAGGCTCAAAAGACAGGTAGAGTCAGTTAATGTGCTTAACTGTTCTCCCATTTCATGATGCACCCTTGCTAAACCAGAGTTGCAACAAAAAAAGACCATGCATAATCTTGCATTTCTAATCGGTAGTAATCTGTGAATGTTTTTATATCCAAACAGATACATATTGTGCCTATAACTTCCTTTTCCTTTGATCCCATTCCACCTCACCTGGAGGAATAATAGGATGCATTGTATGTAGGCAAATAAGCTAAACAAGCCACTGACATACTTGGATGTAGAAATATCCAGGCTCAGAGCCATGCGTAGTCATTAAGGTTCCTTTCTGTTCTTGGTCAAGTCACTTAAAGTTCAGATATGCAGAAAAATAGTGGTAAGGTGGGGAAAGACAGGCTTGAATGTATACAACTACGTTCATGTGTCAGGGTGCAGATCAGTCTAAACTCATTATCCCTAATAAGGTAAAAGGTAAAGGACCCCTGGACAGTTAAGTCCAGTCAAAGGCGACTAAGGGGTGCTGTGCTCATCTTGGTTTTCAGGCCGAGGGAGCTGTTGTTTGCCCACAGTCAGCTTTCTGGGTCATGTGGCCAGCATGACTAAACTGCTGCTGGTGCGCGGAGGACCGTGATGAGTGCCAGAGCACACGGAAACACCGTTTACCTTCCCACCGCAGTGGTACCTATTTATCTTTTACCTTTACCTTTTTACCTTACCTATTTATCTACTTGCACTGGTATGCTTTTGAACTGCTATGTTAGCAGAACCTGTGACAGAGCAATAGGAGCTCACCCTGTTTTGCAGATTCGAACTGCCAACCTTCCAGTCAGCAAGCCCAGACCACAGTGCCACCCGCATATCCCTAATACAGTATACTAACTTTGCAATGCAGATTTTTTTATGTTATTAATTTAGAAAGACTGCACTGTGGGTTTTGGTTTTTTTTAGTAGATGCTTGTTTGAATCAGTTCCAGGTCTGTGTTTGAAATTCGTAGGAATACTGGAAAATCAAAAGAAGTGTTTGCATGAATATTGATGATAGCATCTTGAACTGTATTAAATAATTGCTTCACATTCCTACATCTAGTAGATATTATTCAAAAGGTAAATGTGAGGCTTACATTTTTAACAGCATATTCCTAAGGAAATAATATATTCTGCATTTTAAAATCTAAATTGTATGAAACATTGATAATGTTTCTGTAGGAATAAATCAACCATTGGCAATGAGATGCATTAGCTGATCTCTTATTAGTCTATTCTATAAATGTATTTGTCCTCATTAGTCTACAAAATAACTTGAGTACCATTGTTCATGAGAGAGAGCTGTTTTCCTATCCCATTTCTGCCCCAATTTAAATTAATTACATACCACTTTTCTGCTGCAATATCCTTTTGACCTTAACCATATTCTTTTTAGTAATGGCATGGGAACACAAACACTTTTGGGTTTTTTAAAGCTTGTATACTTTTCTTCTACCTCTATTCCTTTAACGTGACTTCATGAGAAGCATTTGTAATGCATTGTAATAGCATCTAAGGTTAACAGCAATACAGTGGTGCCCCGCAAGACGAATGCCTCGCAAGACGAAAAACTCGCTAGACGAAAGAGTTTTCCGTTTTTTGAGTCGTTCCGCAAGACGAATTTCCCTATGGGCTTGCTTTGCAAGACGAAACATCTTGCGAGTTCTTGCGAGTTTGTTTCCTTTTTCTTAAAGCCGCTAAGCCATTAATAGCCGCTAAGCCGTTAATAGCCGCTAAGCCGCTACTAGCCATGCTTCGCAAGACGAAAAAACCGCAAGACAAAGAGACTCGCAGAACGGATTAATTTCGTCTTGGGAGGCACCACTGTACATGTTTTCTTGCCCTTTGACATTTTTAAATGGATGCTGTCAGTCTGTCCAGGCCCAAAGGCTCTAGAACTTTAAAATACTTTAATGAGCAATAATAAGCAAAGGTAGTCATGTTGGTCCTTAAGAGTTGGCCCCAGATTGTTGGCCCAAGGCCTGTAAAAGATTTAGCCATCATTGTCTTAAACAAAATGCAGAGGTTACTGGCATGGGCACAGAGCAGAAGTAAAGAGAAACTTGGCAGTCTTTAATTTAGCAAAATCAGGGATTACCTTTGGATGGTGTTCTAGGTACTAATTTTAATTTTCATATTAAAATAATTTTAATATGAACTTTGGATGGTTGTCAAGTGCACCACCCAAAATTAATCCCTTACTTTGGTAAATGAAAGACTCTCATGTTTCTCTTTATTTCTGTTGTCTGTGTAGCTCAGGAACTAGTGTGTTTCATTTAAGTGTGAGATATCACAATGTACTTAAAGTGAGTAGTTAAAATATAATTTGCCCTAACAGCAGCCCAGTAATCAGCATCATTTGTATGGTGTGCATCCTCGGTGTGTAACCTGATACCTGTAACCTGGTAACAGGAAGGGACTCAGCCTGCAGTCTCCATCATGAAGTCAACCTGACCTCATGGCTACAACATCAACCTAATTTTTGTACTTTAAAAAATTATCCTCATCTCCCTTGCCCCCGGTTTTGCTGTTGTGTCTTGCTTGATTAAGAGTTCTAGAGAACTCTAAAGCTTGCCACTCTTGTGGACACTTTGGCTAGTCTCAATAATTGCATTGTAATGATTCTTCAACACCAACGTCCTTGGACTGGTCATGTTGTTTGGATGCCTGATTATCATCTTCCAAAACAAGTACTCTTATTCCCAACTTAAGAAAGGAAAACGAAATACTGGAGGACAACAAAAGAGGTTTAAAGACACTCTCCAGGCAAATCTTTAAAAAATGCAATATAAGCACCGATAATAGGAAACACTGGCCTGCAAGTGCTCCAGTTGGAGAACAGCCTCTACAAAAGGCATTGTGGATTTTGAAGAAGCACGAATTCAGGACGAAAGGGAGAAACAAGCTAAGAGGAAGGCACATTTGGCAAATTCTCACCGTGATCAACTCCCACCCAGAAACCTACGTCCCCACTGTGGAAGGGTGTGTGGATCCAGAATTGGCCTCCACAGTCATTTAAGGACACACCGCTAATACTGTGTTCATGGAAGACAATCTTACTCAGCCAGAGAGAGAGAGAAGAGATTGCCCAACTAGATTTTGGAGCTTAATGATCGAAGCATCCTCAAAAGTCAGATAGAATTAAGTTCAATTTAAAATGCCAAAAAGCCTTTGATCCACAAAACAATTTGTTTTATGCCAGTACTGGTGACTAGTAACCTATTCTGAGAATATCCCCCACAGTAGGAGTTCCATTCATAAAAATGGCTGCACTTGCAGTAGGACGAAGTAAATCAAGAAGTCTCCTCTGGTTTGGCAGTATTTGCTCCAAGTAAAGGAGACATTACCAGTTTAATCTGAGTTGTGGGACTGTTAGCTCATCTACCACTTATGACAATTACAATTTTTAAGATCTGTTTTAATGTTGCTGTTTTTTCTTGCTCTCACTCTGTTGTTTTTAGTATTTTTTAAATATCCTTGATTGTTTTAATTGTAAGACACCCTGCACATTGTGAAACTGAATGACAGGATATACAGTGGTACCTTGGGTTAAGTACTTAATTTGTTCCAGAGGTCCGTTCTTAACCTGAAACTGTTCTTAACCTGAAGCAGCACTTTAGCTAATGGGGCCTCCTGCTGCTGCCGCACCGCCGGAGCACGATTTCTGTTCTTAACCTGAAGCACTATTTCTGGGTTAGCGGAGTCTGGAACCTGAAGCGTATGTAACCCGAGGTACCACTGTAATATGCTTTCATTAAATAACTGGACAGTGGGAGATTCAGCCAATGCATCTAGTGTTTGGGTATTAGATGTATATTTAAATGATACTGAGGCTGTCTTGTTTTTAACACTCGATTGGAAGCCACCCAGAGTGGCTGGGGAAACTCAGCCACATGGGCGGGGTATAAATAAATTACTATTACTATTATTATTAATCTTCGGGGGGTGGGATGTATGAAACTGCCTCTTACTGAGTCAGACCACTGGTCCATCTAGCCCAGGAGTCAGCAACCTTTTTCATCCGTAGGCCAGTCCACCGTCCCTCAGACCATGTGGTGGGCCGGACTATATTTTTAGGGTGGAAATGAATGAATTCCTATGCCCCACAAATAACCCAGAGATGTAGTTGAAAAAAAGGACACATTCTACTCATGTAAAAACACGCTGATTCCCGTGTTGTCCGTGGGCTGGATTGAGAAGGCGTTTGGGCCGCATCTGGCCCCCGGGCCTTAGGTTGCCTATCCCTGATCTAGCCTGAATCTCTGACTGGTGAAGACTCTCCAGAGTACCAGACGGGAGTCTTTCCCAGTTCTGCTGCCTTAGATCATTTTAGCTGCTGTGCCCTGGGACATTTTGCATTTGAGGCACTTACTCCATCACTGAACAGTGTGCCCTCTTTCTCCTTGCTTTTGTTCAAAAATATAAATTCTGAATGCAAAATTCCAAAGCTTACATTAAAGGAATTTAAGTAGAATCGAGAAGAAAACAAGATGGAAGATAACCTGAGAAATCAGATTAATCAAAACATGGACTTCAAAGATGATTGAGAATTTCATTCTTACATTGGTGGTGTATACTGCTTGTATGTTAAGATTCATAGGCAGTTTATGGCAGGGGGCAGGGGTACCCAGCATGGTGCCCTCCAGATGTTGAACTGCAGCTCTTGTCAACCCTGATTGTTTGTCACTGATTATTTGACAGAGCCCCGGATGCTGCATTTGACTGGGGAATTGTGATCAGTGATTGTGATCACTTGTTTGTAAGAGTGGCCTCCCATTCAGCAAGAAAACCACATGGGTTTGGCGTCTAGCTTGATCCTGAGTGCCATGTTACAGTATGTGCTGGGCTTTCAGTTTATCTTAAGTTAAACATACATCCTGGGACATATTAAACATCAGGAAGAAAAATCTCACATTTTCCAAACTTCATTGTTTCTGCTTTCTCATTCCCATGACTACCTTTATGATTTTTCAATACTTTTTCTTGTATACTTTATCTGTCTTGGTCAAAACAGTATCCATTAATTAATGAGACCTGCTCTAAACTATGGAAGTGGGGCTTTGGCTTTGCCAGGTGCTCTTGAGAGTAAACTAAATCCAGTGTTTCCTCTGAATCTTGTGGGTGGGTAGAAATCTGGGATCATCCACTCAGCTCCAAATATGAAGGGAGTCTGGGGCTCATCATACTTGCCAGAGACCATTTGACTTCTTCCTATGGTGAGTGTGGCTTGCAAAATTGTGGACCTTGGTTACTGCTTGTGGTTAGTTCAGAGAAAGTTAAATTTTGAGCCCTGGATTTCGACAATATGCTAAGTCAGTTCCTGGCTTATCTCAGTAAAGCAAGGGAGCAAACTAACCAGGGAGGAGCAAAACAGCCACAATCTCCTTCCCAGGAGCCTGCAGGTTCTCACTAAACCATCATTTGGCTTATCGTAATGTGTGAACCAGAACTCTTGTTCTCTGGCTCCTGGTACAAAAGTGCTGCCTAGTCACTGACATTCTGAAGCTGTGAGGATTTCTAGCAGCAGAAAGAGAAAAGAGTTAAGATTGCAGTTATTTCTAGGAAGATAAATATTTGGGGGTCAGGAGAAGAGACATGGGATTTGGGATATTTTGAAACCGGGTGTGGGTTACAGAGATCATGTATAAAACTCATGAATGGAACACATCTTCATTATTCTGCTGTAGACACTTTCTTTTTGCCTATATATTTCTTGAACATTCTGTTCATTTGAAGTTAACTAAGGCTGCTTTTCTGATATTTTGCGGAATTCCATGTCACACTCTTCCATTCGTTCTGCCTGCGCAAGCATTATAGCTTGCTAGATGCAGCAATGCCCCTTTCCCCTGTGCAATGTTATGGTCATGTCCCAACCCTTCCAGAGTCAATTTTGGAGGGAAGGGGGGGGAGCCCCATTGTGCATGCAGAAGTCCTTGCACAGGGCTTCTGTTGACAGAGTTGGTTAGCTGAATCCCATCCTTTGCTTTGTTTAACTTTGTGTTAGGATGGCAGTTCATAACCCCCTTTTTTTTTAAAGCACCAGGTCTTTTTATCAGGTCATGTTTAGTGCTAATAATACTGGTAAATTTGTACATCCTAAGAAGTAATTTTATACTGTTGCAGTAGGAAAACACACTCTCTCCTTTCCAGATGCTACTGTCTTCTTTTCTCATCATTCCACTTAATATCTATTTTCCAGATTTTTCCAAAGGCCAAGTGCAAGATTTGTCGTAGAGCAAGAATTGGAAGCTAATCACCTGATTCCTAGTTGGTGCTTTAATAGCCAGACTGTTCCTGTCATTCACACTAGAAGGTAAATATTATACCACAGCAGAAACCTTATTTTTGAATCCAGATGTTCCTTGTATCTTTATAGATAATTACCATTTTTTTTAAATTCAGAGATGAGGTTTATAGTGCCACCTGGAGGTTTAACAAGCAAATCTTCCATAGAAATATTAAGTGCAATTCTGTGATGAATTCTAAATTTGCCTTTAACTAATACCATACTGGCCTAGGGCTTGCCAAGCAGAAGGTTGGCGGTTCGAATCCCCGCAATGAGGTGAGTTCCTGTTGCTCGGTCCCTGCTCCTGCCAACCTAGCAGTTTGAAAACACGTCAAAGTACAAGTAGATAAATACATACTGCTCTGGCGGGAAGGTAAACAGCGTTTCTGTGCTCTGGTTCGCCAGAAAGTGGCTTAGTCATGCTGGCCACATGACCCAGAAGCTGTACGCCAGCTCCCTCGGCCAGTAAAGCGATATGAGTGCCGCAACCCCAGAGTTGTCCGCGACTGGACCTAACAGTCAGGGGTCCCTTTACCTTTACTTTGCACAGTACTACAAATAGGACTGTGTAGATGCATATGGAATACGTGCCCACACTCTCATCCCTCGACTAAAGTTTATATAACTTTTCACCTGTTTTGAAAGAGAAAGAAAATGTTTTGTTGCTCAGTTTTCATTTTACAACTGCAGAGAGGACAGTGATATTTAATTCAGAATAGTGCGTACTCCTGACAAGATTGTGCCCATAGGGTGGTTGGGAGAAAGTAGAACTAGCAATTGGTCTTCAGCTGATGGCAGTAAGTAATAAGTGCCTTTGCGGAGGCTGCGTATTGCACCAAAGCTGAGTGGTCAGACATCCTCCAGAACCTTGGACAATTCTTAGAGACCAAACAACTTGTTCTGATGGGTTCCTAGTTCCAGACAAGCACTTACATACTCGGTCTGTTATGTTCACTATGTATCCTACGGTCAATCTCCTTCCTGAGGGGTGGAAAGCTTTAAAAGGGCAGTCTCTAATAATTTCATTCTATGTGTTTTAGGAAACAGGCATTGCAGCGAGTTACACTCTTGGTAGCAAGAGCTCCGGGGTACCAGGGGTTACTTTCTCCACCAGGCCAAGCTCAGGGGGTGGTGTTGAGGCCTAGGGACATCACCCCTGCAACTTCTGTCATTGGTGCTTCAGACATAGCTGGCCCCTCTCGTCAGTACCTGGGTTGCTGCTTGTAGTTGGGTTCATGAAAGACCACAGAGCGGTTCCTTGAGCTCCTCTGCCTGTCCCCTGTTCTGCTGGCAATCTGCTCTGTGACTTCTGAATTAAGCCTAGGGGGTTCCCCTCTCCCTTCAATAATTTACGTTATGTTTATCCATCAAATAATTTATTAGCTGTGCAGTAGATAAATACTGATTTTAAAACGTGTTTGACTTTTTCACCACACAATTTCAGCTCGTGTTTTATTCTCATCTATTCTAGTTTAATGTAAAATGGAATTACCAGTAGTTTTCTGTTCACTGTCAACTCTGCTGAGTTGGCTCTTCCATTTGTCCACTAGAGGTCAGTCCTCTTCTGATACTAAATCCACCATTAAACAGTTCTGCAACCAGCATCCAAATGCAGAGGAAGATAGCTGCATAATCATACGCCAGAACAGAAGAGTACATAGATTTTGCCACTAAGACTCCTGAGCAGGAATTATAATATTCGGATTAAAAACCTTTCCTGCAAATTATATATATATATATTCTGATAAAATGTTTATTCATATAAAATGTTGCTTGATAATCCATCCTGTTTAACATTTCATCACCTGAAATGTGATCATTCGTCTGAAATCAGTGCTTATTGTTTTCATTCTGATGAAGAAGATTATAGTTCATGAAAGATTTGTGGAGCTGGCATAGAATAATCTTGGGGCTGCCAGTCCCAAAAATTTGAAAATCATAAGATAGCCTTTAGAAGAGGTTTTTTTAATCCGACTCAGATTTTTGTTACTTTATGTATTTTAGTTTTGAACCTTCCTTGTATAGATTAATTGCTTTTTCTACACCCCGATCGTTTCATTAAATCTGGGCACTTTTCATGATTTTGGAATTTTTCAGTGTACAGCTAGAAATTTGATAGTTTTAAAAATAACTTGTCTGATATTCTTTGGCTACAACTGCTGTAAACAAAGCTTTCTCTTTTATAATCTACCCACAAAGGTTTGAGAACTAGTATAGAATATAACTACACATAGCTCCAGAGATGTTAGGTGCAATATTTATTTCAAAACATAGGTATAATGGTATGGGGTTGCTTGTGCGTAAGTTGCCGCCTCTCCTGGCTATGTTGCCTTGTTAAACCTTTCTGTCTGGACAGCCCTTCAATTCGTGGCTGCCTCAGTCGCTAGCAGAATCCGTCAGTGGGCGTTTCTTAAACCTTTTCCAACATAAAAGTTGTTTGACACCCAGTCTCCTCCTACTTTCTCTGCACGGAAGTCTTCTGCGCAGGGAGGGCGTGGGTAGTGGAGGACCAGTGCTCTCCCCGCTGGTGTCCGGTGAAGAGTCTGGGAGCCCTCTCTCCGATTCCCCCATCTGCCCCTCCTTATTCCTGGTGTTGCACTGAATTGCTTCCCCATCTGCTGAGCTGCCTCTCTCCCTGCTGGGCCCTTCTCCAGCATCATTAGAGAGCCTCCCCTCCACCTCTAGCTCCGATGTCAGTTCCCTGACAATAGCAGACACAAATTATACCTTTAAGTGTACCAGCACACCTTGTTCTAGGAGTGTATGGGGTTCTTTTTTTGCAGAATGCACAACCCAGAGTTTTTCTGCTTGGCCATTATAGTTTATCATGTTAAAGTTAAGAGTGTTTGTACAAATAACCAAACTAAAAAACTTTGGACTTTGTGCCCGTTGTTCTGGGAATAAGACAAAATGTTTCGCAGTATTTCTTGACATCTTGAAAAACTGAGTGATCCCCACCAAGAAAAAAGAAGGGCGAGCTTTCGAAAGCTTATTAACGTAATTACCTTTGACTCGTATGTATAATAAGTATCATTCCTTGTTACAGAAAGGTCAGGTGCAATTGCATCGGATGGCTTGCTTTCTAGCCTGTATGTCCATTGCGGAACTACAGAATGCTTGGTGCCGATTCATACTACCTGTCCACAGAGTGGGGGTTATATGTAAAAGATTTGAGAATTTTAAAAATCCAACCTAAAAGAGAATTGGACAAATTCATGTAGATTAAGGCTGCCAATGGCTCCTAGCCAGGATGGGTATGTTATACCAACAGTATATGCCTCTGAGTACCAGTGGCTGGGAATCACAACTGAAGAGGGTACAGTTGGACTCAGGTTCTGCTTGTGGCTTTATGGGCATCTAGTTGGCCACTTTGAGAACAGGATGCTGGATAGTATGGGCCTTTGGTCTGATCCAGCAGTGCTCTTCTTATGTTCTTATGCTCTTACCCTTCAAGTGCAGAGAACCAGCTTTTTCTCAGGGCAGGCATTTCCCCAGTATTCTTCCTTTGACTAGTACTTCCCTTAGGGGATCTCAATGGAATAAACAAGATAGACTTATAACAAGTTTGTCAAGTTCCACAATTTACAGGCGTTTCTGAAAGCAACACATGGGAGTTTAATTTGTGTTGCTGACCTTTCAGCATTGTGACACATCAGTTTTCTCTAATAATTATTTGATGAGACATGAGTCTCATTTAAGTTTAAAATGGCAAAATGTTATATGGAGCCTAACAGGGTTGGGGCTTGAACCTTTTGATTCAGGGTGGTATAGCCTAGCTCAGGGGTCAGCAACCTTTTTCAGCCGTGGGCCAGTCCACCATCCCTCAGATCATGTGGGGGGCCGGACTATATTTTTTGGGGGGAGGGAAGTGAACAAATTTCTATGCTCCACAAATAACCCAGAGATGCATTTTAAATAAAAGCACACATTCTACTCATGTAAAAACACGCTGATTCCCAGACCGTCTGCAGGCCGGATTGAGAAGTCGATTGGGCTGCATTTGGCCCCTGGGCCTTAGGTTGCCTACCCCTGGCCTAGCTGCTCATTGGACACAGTTTTCTAGAAGTTTTTACATAAGGGAGAGAGGCTGGTGGTCAACTGGCCAAATGTCCAGGGAATGACAAGATTATACTCCGCAGAGAATTTTCCTGGAGTGCCTGTCTTTGTCCTGCTGCCTGAGCTCCTTAATCCTAGTCTCTCTGCATGCCATTTTTGGTATTCCCAAATTCAGTTTTTACCAGCTCATATAAAATCTGCCTGTTAACGCAGCTTTGCAACTAATAATAGAAGGAGCAGCCAGTCTCCTATTATCTGATAAAGCCCCTCGGCTTCCCTCTGTAGTGATAGCAACACTTAGAAGGGAGCCAGACCAGAGAAAACTACATATACAATCTGCCATGGTCTGGTGAAGTATTATAGTTCTGTTGCTAAAGGGCATTTGTTCATTGCAACCAGTGGGACAAGCAGCAAACTTTAAAAATCCTGGGATTTTGCAAAATGTATTTTTGATGAGGAGATGACATCCCGTGACGCGTGACACATTTTCTTCTATTAACCAACATTGTGTAAAATAAAAATTTTGAAACCTGAACTTTCCACCTACACTAAATCATGGATTGTGGATGACAAGACTAGTGAGTATGAACAGGAAATGGTTGTGAAAGCACTGTGCAAATAGCAATGAACGAAACTGGTAACATGTAAAAAAAAGTTTCATGTAAAGATTGTCAGAGGGACCTTCAAAAGAGGACATTACCAGAACGGCTTTCACAGATACTTAGAAAGGAGTAGAAATTTTACTATTTCTATGAGAAGGCAAATGTACACATCAAACCCGCTCCTTAAATAGAGTTTTTGGAAAGTAACTAACTAAACTCAGAATCTCCTTACCTTTTACCTTTACCTTAATGTCTTGGAACACCTTAAGAATGAAAACTGCCAATCTTATATGGTAATAACAACAACTGCTAAAGCAGACTGAACTAGATTCCATTCCTTTCTGTTATTGTCAGCAGAACTGTTTACCCGATCCAGGAGTTTAGTAATAGCACTGCACAGGTGTCTGCATTCATAACTGAAAGACCACAAAATGCCACTGAAGGAATTAGTTTGCCTGCAGAACATTTATGGGGAAAGAATGAGAGAACAAGAGTTTAGTCTAGACTAGAAAGCTTGTGTGGCTTGCCTCCCCCCCCCCCTTTAAAAAAGCACTCTTAAACTTACCCTGCATGCCAGTTTGTGAATAAGCTGTCTTTAATTGTGCAGGGGAAATGATCTTTTCCCATTCTTACTTTATACAGTATCTGGAAAAGGTTGCTTCACTGTGAATTGGAGACCTAGACTAGTTCGTGATCAGTTATTGGAGTACCGTATGTCTTGTCCTTCTGGTTAAAGGGAAATACAGTGGTACCTCGGTTTTCAAACATAATCCATTCCGGAAGACCATTCAACTTCTGAAAAGCATTCGAAAACCGAAGCAGTTACTTCCGAGTTTTTGGCATTCGAAAACTTTCGACTTTTGAGACATTCGAAAACCGACATACCACTGTAGTTAAAAGTTGATTTCAATGAAAAGGGGGTGAGGTGCAGAGAGAGAGAGAGAGAGATCATGGGCATGGCAAGATGGTTAGTATTTCATATTCAGTAAGCTTTTCATTAAAAAAAACTCAGGCAGGAGTGAAATAAGGGAAGACAGGGATAATACATCTAGCAGAATTTTTTGCCTCTTGAAACATGATTTTTATAGACTTCAGGCTGCCTTTTTCCTCTTGGGGTCCAGCAACTCTGCTAAGTCCCACTCAGTGTAGAGTCATTGAAATAAATGAACGTAAGTTAGTTGTGATTATTAACTTCAGTGGGTCTACTCTGAGTAGGTCTAACATCAAATACTGCCCTATATAATCTCCTTGCTGTAGACTATTTTAGTATTTCTGAGGAAAAGGCTGAGGTGTGTGTGTGTGTTGCATCCTCCTTTTTTATTCTGGAAAGATTATTTATTAATATTTATGATGTTTAAAGTGACATACATTTTCTAGGCACTGTGGGCCTCCAATTTCATGACACCAGGATGAATGTTTCCTATGGCAGTCTTCTGAAAACTAATTGTCTGATTTGGAATTGAGAAGCCATTTCGCTCTGGTCATTGTGGTTTAGCTCACAAAGAGTTTTTGCTTTCTGCATGTGTTTTATGCCACATATTTTCTGTCTTAGAGATACTTTTTCTGTAGTGTATCTTGGCCCCATCTGTTTTCTGTTTCTGGCAAATAAATTATGGGAGATGTTGCCTAGTTTGTTAGAGACATTTGCATATAGAGCACTTAGGCTCCATACCAGAGTTTGGTCCAGATAGCCTTTTGAAGCTCAGAGCTTCACTGGAAATTGTTTCAAGAAACATACAAATGCTTCAGGGATCTATGATAATGGATTGTGTAATGGATTCAGGGATCCATGGAATGGGAAGCTAAACTGTTATGGTGGCAGTTGCCCTTTGGGAACACAAATGAGTTTTGGGATTGTCTAGGACAAAATGGGCACGGGCACAATATTGGTATTCTTAATTGTAGGGTCCAGTTACATTTTAATTTGGCTTGAGCTCTGGTTAGTCATAGATCACGAGCTCAGTCTTCTATGAGCAATGAAGTATGTAGTCCTTGCAAACAATAGACTGCAACTTTCTAAGGATAAACAAATTAGTCATTAGTAAGACTCTGTAGCTGGCAATTAAACATGGAGAATATACAGTAACTAGCATAATAAGCTTATTAGTGAAAGGTTTTGTTAAAGTAGAGCTATTAAGTTCTTTTTTAAATATTGCGTGTATCCTTGGGGTGCATGAATTTAGGTACAATAAGTGGATAGGCAGATGGTTTGAAATGCCAGCATTTAGTTAAGAAAATAGCAAACAACTACTATTAGACAGTACGGTGACAGCCACTGTGTTAGTCACACTCAGAGGCTATTTAAATAAATGGACAAGTTTACTCTTGAGTATGACTCACATTGGCTGGCACCCTGTTCGCCCTGTATTTAATATACAAGAACTTTGTTTTTGAAAAATCATTTAGAATTATGAGAATATCGCTGAGCATTGTAGCCTTAAACTTAGATGTATTCTTTATAAAGTAGTTACCAGACTAGGATTTCACTATCAGTGGGAATATGTTGAATATCTTCTCCAGGTCCATTGTTTCTGCTGCACATTTGTTAGTTGTCTTTGGCATACTAAAAAAACAAAAAACAAACCCAGTGTTCAGTTGTTGCCATCTTGTATTCAGGGGCGTCTATGTGACATACATAAATTAAACAGTTTTTCAACAATGCCACGCCTCCTCCACCCCAGTAGCCAAAGGTATTGGTGCCATGAGAGTGCTGGAACTTCTGTGCTTCAGGTCTCCAAGCCCCATAAAGAGCTACATTTCCTTGGGGCGAAGCTCTACACTAGTTCTCCTCGAAGGAGGGGATTTGGGTTTATGAGGAGAGATGGGAGTGTGATAGTCTGCCGAGGACATCTTTTTGCCACACCTTGGTTTGGGGGAACTGTTGGTCTGAAAAGAAGTGTGCAGCCCACATTGGATGGGATTGCAAATGCCGGTTCACATGTCACAGTTGAGAGGTGTTGCACTTCTTACCACATCCACCTTTTTGTGACTTCTTATTGCTAGATTGGCGGTTTTAAATTTGTTTTGTTTTTTTTTATGTAATTGCTTTTTATGATTTATTTTGTAAGCTGCTTTGAATTTTTTTCTTAGGAAAACTGGGGTACACACTTCAAAAATAAATGGTTTGGCAGCTGGCCAATGAAGAACATCAGAACTGAGCCAATATATGTCTGGAATTTGATGTTAAAGTGGAAAAAAGTTATATTTTAATCTACCAGTAAAGATAGTTAGCCATACTTTATGGTTTCCTTCAGTCCTCTGCATTCCACTCTTAGTGACAGCTGTTCAGTAGTCCAAATTCATTTGTAAAAGAATGTGAGCTGAGCCTGGCTATGGGGCTATTAACTTTTGCTCAAAGGTCGATTTGGAGCCAGGAAAGAGAAACTTGGAAGTAGTGCAGGGAGTATTAATGAAGCAGGAAAGGGTCACGGAAGTTTACAACAAATGAATGCAGGCATTAAACAAAGATATTCATAACCTCCAAAGGTTCTATTCAAACCTTTTAATTGTTTCATAACAGAATGAATGTGGCCCATTTATTGAATAATACTTAAAAGTGGAAGAGAGATTTTTGTTTGAAATTGAGAGGTAGCTTGCAGATTACAAGCCCTGTAAACAAGACGCATCAGCCAGTTTATAAGGGCTTCTTCACACTTCATGCAACAGTCATGACTTGTCGCAACTACAATGGTGTTCTCTCGGTGTTTCTTTAGTAAACACATGAAGGCTAGATGCACATCCCTAAAAGGTAAAGGATGCACAACAGGGAGCATCAGTTGACTATATCTTCAAGAAACGTGGAATTTTGTTTGAGCCCTCACCCCCCCCAATTGTTTGTTACATAAAGTGTTGAACAGCATTTAATTCTTCTGAATTGAGTGTAGCAAGTGTGGGTGTGTATACACACATGTAACATATGCACACAAGTACAGTCGTACCTTGGAAGCCGAACGCCTTGGCACTCGGAACGTTTTGGCTGCCGAACGCCGCAAACCCAGAAGTGAGTTCCAGTTTGCAAACGTTCTTTTGGAACCCGAACGTCCAATTTTGGAACCCTGCAGCCAATCAGAAGCCGCGTCTTGGTTTCCGAACATTTTGGAAGTCGAATGGACTTCCAGAACGGATTCCATTCAACTTCCAAGTTACAACTGTAATGTATCTCCTCACAATCTCCACTTAGGAGTCCTTCCTGTAGCGTTTTTGTGTGTGTGTGCATGTTCTTCAAAAAGGATCATTTCTTGTGATTCCAAATGACTGGACAACATTCACAAAGGGATTGTGAATCAGGTGGGGCTTACAGCTAGTTGCAGCCATTTTCCTGTTGAGATGACCAGAGAAGCATCTTCATGCTTTTAGTACAAGAGAGAATTTAATGCAGCCTCCAGAGAGGTGCCTACCACAAGGTTTGCAAGTGACACTGTGGGATTGGTTTCATTTGATGCAGCCTGATGTCATAGACAAAGTGTTTGCATCTGTGCACCTAGCCATATGCTCCCTCAACTATTGCCCCTCTTGGCTTAATGTGGTGGCACCTGCCATCTTTTTACAGTCTTTTTGGCACCTACTGAAGACCTTTCAACATGCTCTTAAAATGGAGGTTGTCATCCCAGTTTTTACCTGCATTAGATTATATATGTAAACAATGTGTGTGTGTCATTCAGTCACTTTGTGATGCTTCATGGGAAGCAATTCATAAATAAACGCAGCTTTATATGGAACAGTACTGCGGTTTTTTTGTTTAACTGCACCTGCCAAGGTTCCTCATCTGCATGAGTTCGGGAACCCTGTCTTCCTTTGCAGCTGGATACTCTCTTTTCTGAACTTCCCTTTCTTTAGGTGTTTCATTTAGTGAACAGATGGGGAGGAAGGATGGCTTGTGAATTATAAGACAGAAGGGGAAAGTGGGAGTTCATAGACTTATTCTTGACTTCAGAGGTTTCCTGTGGAATAAAATGAGTCACTAAATCTCTTCTTTAACTGGGTGGTTCCTGTCTGCTTGCCAGAAACTTGGTCAAGGGTTAATTCAGGGATACTCACTGGGCGCTGTGACAACTTTTGACTGGTGGGGCCACCTCCTTCCTGGCTGAGGGTTGTGTTAAGACCCCTGCTTTGAAAGAATCAGCACCAGGTTCATACAAGTTTTTAAGTCTTACACTGAATCCACAGATCATTGGCTTCTTCTAAGCTTTTTGCTTTCAGACAGAATCAAGTGATCTTTAAATGAGTGAGAGCTTTAAGTTTTTACGGTGGTGGTGAAGTGAATAGACACTGAAAGATGGTGTTTAAACGCTGAACACTAAATTGCTTTGTTCTGTTCTTGCAGTCTGAAATATTGGTCTGTAAGAAGGAGGAGTAAGTATTAATAGCATGAACAGTAACATTTTGAAGAGTACACGATCCTATTTTTTGGAGAAAGAATCACTTCTGCTCTGTCAGTCTGTGGTTTCGTCACTTCAGTATTGCCTCAGTGAGTAAGCCTAGAATGACCAAATCATGCTGAGTAATGCAAGACCAGAAATGGAGCGTGTGAATTGCCTTATATGGAAAGGCTTATGCTGCAATCATAAAGCAATGTCATCCAGAGGTTTTGATTTTATTTATTTTTCGTTGGGGCTTGGCTGATAATCTTTCCATTAAAGTTTAAACACAGGGGTCATAATCCAGCCAGAGTTAAGCACTTTCAGATCTGCTGAGTTCAACGAAGGTGGCATATACTGAACCTAAAAATATTCAACTCAGGCTAGATCAGGAATCTGGACCAAGGTTCATTCTGAGTGTTCAGAGAGCAGCTCACCTTTGAAAAAACCCAGAGAAGACATATGTTTTTGAGCATAGTGCGCTGTTGGAGTTTCCCTGTTTTTGTGAAATCTGCCACAGGATTGTTTCTCACAGTTATAGAATATTGTTGCTATGCACATTTTGAGACACTGTTAATCCTCAATGGAAAAGTTAGTGAGGATGCATTGGATAGTGAGCGTCACAGCTGATTTACCTTCCTGTAGCACCATCCTGCTCTCTGAAATAATTATGGCTGGGAAAGAGAACGCAGCACCAAATCTGAACTGGGAGCAGAACCCCATTCTCATGCCTTGTGCCATTGAGCCACTTACAGCAGAGATACTGGATCTCGTTTTTCCATTGTTACCAAGTTATCACTGCAAGTTGGCTTCAAATCAGACCAAAGTGAAAGCTTGCAATTAATGGTAACTATCTGTAGTCTTGTATATTTGTCTTTCGTTAGAACCCAGTTTCTAGTTATTTGATTTTAGAAAAGTTGTATGAGCTAAACGTTTGTAATTGTAGTGAAAAGCAAGGCTGCCCACAAAGCGACACAGGCACAATCTCCTGCATGCTTTGTCATTGTGAGTTAATTGCATTTCACTCAGCAGGTAGCTTGTACATTCATGGTCTAAGAGAGTCAGTAAAATAAGCTAGGCTGACCTTTAATTACCTCATTTGGAGCTTACCTTTTAAATTTTGAAATTTAAACCTACTGTGAGTGTTTTAAACATTTGCACTGTGGCTTTGGGCAAATTTCACATAGTTTGTAAACAAAAGCAGAACAGTATTCTAAAATTAGTGCATATGAGAAAGAGAAAAATACACCAAATGCACATCCCTGTGTATGTGTCTTGCTGAACACAGTGCAGTTTAGTATGTAATATTTGTTAGCTGTTCTGACAAGTAAATAAAGAAAAATATGGAATGGAAACTTGAATTCTTCATGTATAGAAAATCTTTCTCTAAAGGTTTCTTAATTGATAGAGTACAGTCATACCTTGAGTTGAATGCGCTTCGGATTGAGCACGTTCAAGTTGCGCTCCGCGGCAACCCGGGGATAATGGAGCGCGTTACTTCTGGGTTTCGACTGCTCGCGCATGCACAGATGCTCAAAATGACGCCATGCGCGGAAGTGGCAAAACGCGACTCGTGCACGCGCAGACACGCCGCCGCATCTTGCGTTCCGTTCGGGATGCGAATGGGGCTCCGGAACGGATCCCGTTCGCATCCCGAGGTACCACTGTATATGAAAAGAAAAAGAAAAGGCTTTAATGTGTGAGCGAGTTTGAAATGATCTGGAATTGCTTTGAATTTCTGGGAAGAGCAAGTAATTTTGTGGTGTTTTAGTGTTTAGAGTTTCACAATCCAGGCTTCCAGCACTTGTTTTTTTGCTCTTTGATTATTATTTTTAAGAGAAGAAGAGGAGGAACAATTATAATGAGCAATAGTTTATGATGCATATGACTATTCAGCTCTTATGCTATAAAATCATAATATCAGCCTCTAGTTTGTCATTTCCACAAAGCTTGTCTGGTCAGTTTTCCTCCAGTTGGACTGTATAGTGAAATTAGCAAAACACTTCCAATGGGCACAGTGAAGTTAACTAATGTTGGGTACAAAAACATACCATTAAACCAGTGCTTTTTTCTGGGGGTACGCATACCCATAAACATTTTGTTAATCTCTGTACTTTTGTCCATCTACTGTATTTATTTTTCCCGGTTTGAACTATAACATGATGATTTTCTTGAGCCAAAATGAGAGTACCCCTAAACGTGTTTTTTTAGGGGGGGAAGCACTGTGTTAAACTATAATTAAAATATCTGCTACTGGATGTTTAAAATGCACTATTTGGCAGTTATAGCTTTCTGGGCAAGTTGACTGACTAGAATTTATTACTGTATATCATAATTTCAATTGGTGGGTAGGTAGCAGATAGTATGGGTTGTTAGATTGAATTCCTGTTCTTGAGTTCTGACTAATGTAATTACATTGCAATTGGCTCAAAGCCAAATATTTATCTGAAAGTACACTTGCATTTCTTCCTGCTGAAAACTGATCTAATTTCCACAGTAATTGAGTCATATCTTTTGCTCTCATGCTTCTTTCCCCTTCCTTTGAAAGGTGAAGTCATATGTACTTTGAGTATCTACTCTATAAAATCTCCTAGGAAGTATATCATTTATAAATAGTAGAAGAAGAAGGCTGTAGCTGAAGAGTTGGTTGGATTAATCCTCCACTCACTCCTTTTGTTTTCTTGGGGTTCATGAGTCATACCTCTTGCAATGGCAATAGAAGCCACAGGTACAGAATTCTGTGATTAGAATATAAACTCTATACGTAGCAACTTGTGCCCTATGGCCCAGATAGCCAAGCCTGCTTCCTTCCTTCCTGCCAGTAGGGCTACAGCTAGTCTTACTTTCTCCTTGACTCTTCTCCCGCCCCACCCTTCAGCTCCCATTTCCCACACCATAGAATTATACAGTTGGAAGAGACCCCAAGGATCATCTAATCCAATCCCCTGCAATGCAGGAATACAGTGGTACCTTGGGTTACATAGGCTTCAGGTTACACACTCCGCTAACCCAGAAATAGTACCTCGGGTTAAGAACTTTGCTTCAGAATGAGAACAGAAATCATGCTCCGACGGCGTGGCAGCAGCAGGAGGCCCCATTAGCTAAAGTGGTACCTCAGGTTAAGAACAGTTTCAGGTTAAGAACGGACCTCCAGAACGAATTAAGTTCTTAACCCGAGGTACCACTGTATTCAGTTTGCCTAGGTAGGGTAAAAAGGTAAAGGACCCCTGGACGGTTAAGTCCAGTCAAAGGCAACTATGGGGTTGTGGTGCTCATCTCGCTTTCAGGCCGAGGGAACCAGCGTTTGTCCGCAGACAGCTTTCTGGGGCATGTGGCCAGCATGACTAAACTGCTTCTGGTGTGACGGAACACCATGACGGAAACCAGAGCGCACCAAAACACTGTTTACCTTCCCCCCGCAGCAGTACCTATTTATCTACTTGCACTGGCGTGCTTTTGAACTGCTAAGTTGGCAGGATCTGGGACAGAGTAACAGGAGCTCACCCTGTAATGGGGATTCAAACTGCCGACCTTCTGATCAGCGACCCCTAGAGGCTCAGTGGTTTAGACCACAGCGCCACCCGTGTCCCCACCCGTGGCCTATATGGGGATTGAACCCATATAACGGAAAATAAAATGGCTTCGGAAACTGAATTGGATCTTCAAAAACTGGCTTGAAAAAATGTTCACAAATAAGTCAGAACTGTTTTGTTTTGTTTAGGTTGTGGACTAGATTGTTGGCAGCTAGTGTTTAAAAATTCTTAGGAGATATATTTTGTAATAGTGATAATCCCGAAAAGTGTTTGTATAATTAAACTATAATGGAAGTATCTGGCTTTGGATGTTTAAAATTTTTAGTTTGGTGTGCTTTTTAAAATTCTGGCCACATTGACTAGAGTTTAATATTTCGTAAATTGAAGAGGTGTAAAGAGGTAGGGGTTTGTATGGGTATTAGACTATTCTACCTTAAATTGTTTAATATGTACCGTATTTTTCGCTCCTAAAAAGTAAGGGGAAATGTGTGTGTGTCTTATGGAGCGAATGCAGACAGGAAGCTCTGTCAGTGCTCCCTTTAAAGAGCCACACACACACTCCGCATGCTCTTTAAAGGGAGTGCGGCTCTTGGGGGAGCCTTAGCCGTGCACAGCCTCTCCTGGGCAGGGGATGAAGGCTCCCCTTGCCTGGGAGAGGCTGCGCGCAGCTAAAGAAGAAGCCAGGACAGCCAGCGCGCGGCTCTGTCCCTTCCCCCACCTCCCAGAAAAGCCCCCAAGAGCCGCGCTCCCTTTAAAGAGCGTGCGGCTCTTGTGGGAGGAAAGCCAGTACGCTTGCTTTCGCTGAAGCCCGGAGGGCAAGAGGGATCGGTGCGCACCAATCCCGCTTGCTCTCCTGGCTTCAGGGGTAGCCCCGCAAAGCCTCCTGAGTGAAGATGGAGGAGCGCTCCCTCTTAGCTCAGGATGCTTTGTGTTCCTTTCTTATTTCTTGTTTTCCTCCCCTAAAAACTAGGTGCGTCCAATCATCCGGTGTGCCTAATAGAGCAAAAAATATGGTATTTGAAAAGCTAGATACAATACAGTGAAGCAATGCCCTTTTAAGCCTTACTAGCTTTACAGTGCAATCCTATATAGATTCTTATTCATCCTGTTTTAAGTCCAGTGGAACTTGTTCCTACATGAATGTGCTTGGGATTGCACTCTTAAATTTTGTAAAATTCCTTAGAAGCAGGACATTGGAGACATCTGTTTAATTAAGATTCCAACTAGAGAGTATCGCATGCATTTCAGTTTCTTCCATTGAATTCATTGGAATGTTAAAGTGATGAGCTTGGGATGCATTATGCCCTGTGGTTTTAGAGTACTGGAGAAGTCGTGAATGGGCACACAGCCAGATTTTCTGCCCTGTGAAAGCAATGTCTCCTTCTAAGTTGTTGTTGTTATTGTTTTTAATAGTGACAAGTCACTGTCTGGTAATGTTCATCCCCCTGACTCAACTGGCCAGAGAGTAGTATAGTTATACTGACTGTGTTACTGGTAGAATTATAAACTTACTGGTTCAGGGGCTGCCCTTGGGACAGTGGCAAGAGAACTTTGGCAGTGGGCAGTCGAAATTCTGGTAAGGAGTCTTTTGAAGACCGTCCTGATTACGCACACTGGGGCAGCCGGCATTCAGACTTTTATTTACTTAGTTTCACAACAGGAAATGTGATCTTGTTACAGGGGTTGTTTTTTTTGTCTGTGAACTGCATGCACTCCTGATTCTGTGGTACTCAAGCGTTTTACATGCATAGCTAGCAGAACCTCTAAAGCGAGTCAGTAAGATTTTAACGTTTTATCCTTTCCACACACAAAAAATGTACATGGTATTATGCATTCTTCAGTGACTAAAGTTTTTGTTTTTGGAAAAACAAAACAAAACGGTTGCTCTGAGCAGCCTTATCATCCATATATCTGGAAATGAGCAATTTCTGATTAATTGTCCGAATTCCAGTGGTAAAAGCAGTTCATTAGGTCAAATGGTAGAGCTGCAGTACTTGGCATAATTTGACACCATCCCTTCCTCCACTCCATCACTCATACCACTGCAATAGCATTAGCTCTGTATGGGATCCCAATCAGCTCAGGGTCTCCTCTGCAGAACAGGACTACGGTTTTGCAATAAATGTATTGTATAGCCGTTTTCTATGCCTCCAGTTTTATAGTAAGTTTCAGCGGCAAGTGTACCCCTTAGATCCCAAATCTAACAATGATCTCATTGTCCAAATGCTGAGCTTTATGTAGCCAAAATGGCAGCAGCATATATTGGTAGGTTTGAGAGAACTCCATGTTTTGTGGAATTACAAGCAAATACTTTTTTTAAAAAAAATTCCAACCCCCACTCCAAGCCAAATGAGGAACAGCTTGAAATGGTGAAAGTCTGTTTGGAGAGAGGCAAACTGGGCAGAGAGAAAAAATGGATTGGAATGCTTTGGAAGACACCCCCCCCCCACAGAATCTTGGGAAGTGTAGTTTGCTAAGAGTGCTGGGAACCATAGCTATTTGAGAGGTAAACTACAGTTCCCAGGGGAGAGGGGCTTTAAATATCTGGTATGCATACAGTCCTGGTTCCCCGTTTTGAGAGGGGTAGCCATGTTAGGCTGCTCTAGCAAAAAGAACGAATGAGTTTTGTGGCACCATAAAAAAACTAATCATAGAAAGCAAACAAAATAAATGTGATAGGCTTTATGGTGCCACAAGGCTTTTTGTTCTAGTTCCCCACATTTTTTATGAAATGAGTTTTTATCAGAAGACCTTTAACCTAACATGCCTATCCTTTGCTGTTCAGGATTATGGAGGCAGCCAGTGACTCAGACAGAGCTGAAACTTCGGGTGTGGCGAGCTGCCATCACAACTTGCGGCATTGGTCTGGCATGCAAGCTACGCAAAAGCTATTGCACTGCACAATTAGTGACCCTCGTGTATGTCACCATTAAGGCTGGGGTGTTTGCTTGCAGTAGTGAGCGCTCTTCTCTGGCTTTCTAAAGTGAACCAAGTTCATCAGATGAGATTTCCTAACAAAAACAAAAAACAAATTGAAAGTGGCCCTCCCTTCCCTTATAAATAACAGCATGTCCTATGCTGCATTCCCTCTCACCTCCAACCCACAGAGAGATTACTTTGCTAGGAAGGGGTAGGAACTGAATTTGCTGCCAGGAAGCTTGGACGATGACACATTCGTGCAGTCTGGCACAAGCCGTTGCTGAGATCTGATACTCTAATAGCCACCTACACTGCAGCTGATCCCATTAATAAATGTTCATACTGCAGGACTTTGGATTACAGTCCTCCCTCCCTTCTGGACACTATTTCTCATGGATCATACTGGCTGTGTACTTGTGTACATGTTTTGTTATGGAGCCCCTGCTCTTTTTCTATAGGTGTCATATGCACAGAATTGGCATGTGTTCACAAGAAAAACTAGCTGTGCCAGTGTAGGTGGCTTTTAGAGTGCCAGTCTCATAATGATCAAAAGGGGTAAATGCATCTAATAAGTAATAAAACAACAACTAAAAACAAGCAAGACAGAAAAAGGGGCTGGGTGATAGTAAAGGTAATGGGACCCCTGACCCTTAGGTCTAGTCACGGACCACTCTGGGGTTGCGGCACTTATCTCGCTTTATTGGCCGAGGGAGCTGGCGTACAGCTTCCGGGTCATGTGGCCAGTATGACTAAGCCACTTCTGGCGAACCAGAGCAGCACATGGAAATGCTGTTTTCCTTCCTGCTGGAGCGGTACCTATTTATCTACTTGCACTTTGGCGTGCTTTTGAACTGCTAGGTTGGCAGGAGCAGGGACCGAGCAACGGGAGCTCACCCCATCACGGGGATTTGAACTGCCGACCTTCCTATCGGCAAGCCCTAGGCTCTGTGGTTTAACCCACAGCGCCACCCGTTTACTGCCTAATTAAAAGTCAACATGGTTTTTAGAGGGCCAAAACCTTATTGCTGGATTAGCTGATCTTCTGCCGCTTGGACAAAACTTCAGTTTGTTAGCCCACATAAAATCCATTACTAATCTTGGATGCCCATTAAGAATCTCCCCCTTGACTGAGTTGGACATCTCAATAAGGCTATGACTTTTGAAGACAGCTCTGTAATTCAGTAGGTTTACAACATACAAAGTGTTAGTATTACTGGGGGGGGGGGGGGAGCTGTAACAGAATGCACTATTGGGAATATAGTGATGAAAAAATATTTTCAAAGCCTTAAGGGATTTACACCTTACTGTAAACTGCAAAAGGGTGAAAGTACCAGCCTGAGCTCAGACTGAATGTCTTTGTGCTGCAGTTTGGTTTTAGGAGTAGGGATTTTTTGTCTTTGCCAGTCAGAGCCAGACTTGGTATTGTTATTGTTTTTCTGTGTTTTTTCTGTTTGCTTACACAAGATGCAAGAATCTTGTTTATTACTTCATAGAGTTTGGCTGTAACAGAGCATCTACGCACGTAACTATCAGTAAACATTTTAGTATTTGGCACCATTTCAGATATAACCTTGAAATCTGTTCAGGAATTGCATTTAGCCACTCATATGCCATTGCAGAGGCTGTCATGTGCTACTGTGGTCAGGCTTTGGCTAAACACGATGATCAAAGTCTTGACGATTCATTGGAAGGCAGCCAGTCGTAGGATTGTTAAAACCCTGTGACTCAGTTGCTGCTTTGAACTCTTGTTCTCGGCTATGCAGTCAAGTCTAAAAGTGAGGAACAATACTGTTTGGATTGGCTAAAGAAAAGGGATTTGATTTTTTTTTAAAAAAACACCATAGTATCTTTCTTCTGCTTTTGAATCACTTATATTCTCACATCACTGCAGATTTCCAACACAGAGACACCTTCTGTAGATGTATTTAGAGCTTAGAATTTAGAAAAAAATACATGGTATTTTGAAAAATGCCTTTGAAATATTTGAGTTCTGAAGAGGTCCTTTGCAGCATGGGACCAGATAATAATCTAGGGATAGTAATTAGTGGTGGAACCGCCAGGTGATGTTGGAAATACAACTCCCATGACCATTGGCCACCCTGTCTGGGGTTGACAAAAGTTAAAGAGTCCAGCATCTAGAGGGCCACACAGCTTTCCCATCCCTGGAATAAACACTGATGAGCATTACTTTGAATCAGTTTTAGCACTGTCATTTTCTGAAGGAACACAGATTTAAATGGGGGGAAGTGGGTCTATTAGAACTTGAATATTGAAAAGATAAGTAGAAACAAAGTTGTGCATTTGAGCAAATGATTAAGATAATAAAGTGCTGTTAGCGTGATCTGCCACATTCACCCCAAACCTTAAAAAGGAAAGGAAGTAATATTTCTGCTTTGGATTGTGAAGGGGAGGAAAAGGTGAGGAATTCAGTGTACAGTGGTACCTCAGGTTAAGAACTTAATTTGTTCTGGAGGTCCATTCTTAACCTGAAACTGTTCTTAACCTGAGGCACCACTTTAGGTAACGGGGCCTCCCACTGCCGCCGCGCTGCCAGCGCACAATTTCTGTTCTCATCCTGAAGTAAAGTTCTTAACCTGAGGTACTACTTCCAGGTTAGCGGAGTCTGTAACCTGAAGCATCTGTAACCTGAAGCGTCTGTAACCCGAGGTACCACTGTATATAGAAATGTACCTGGGACTTTAATGCTACCATTTGTTTGGAGAGCAAGTAGAGATGCAGGAACTCACTCCACATAGCACATCCCCTGCTCCCTGATGAGAGGTGAGGTGGGGGGGAGTGCTGGACTACGACTTTGGAGACGTGGGTTCAGATCCCCACTCAGCCTTAACGCTCACTGGGTGACCTTGGGCCAGTCACAGTCTCTCAGCTTAACCTACCTCACAGGGTTGTTGTGACAGAGAAACTGGAGAAGGGGAGAAGTGTGTATACCACTTTGAGCTCCTTGGAGAAAAGTCATACCTTGGAAGTTGAATGGAATCCATTCCAAAAGTCCGTTTGACTTCCAAAACCGAAGTGTAGCTGCAGGAAGCTCCTGCAGCCAATCGGAAGCCGCAGAAGCCACGCTGGACGTTCAGCTTCCAAAAATCGTTTGAAAACCGGAATATTCACTTCTGGTTTTCGATCATTCAGGAGCCAAAACGTACGAGTTCCAAGGCATTCGGCAACCAAGGTATGACTGTAAATTATTTTTAAAAAGATGAAATTGTTCTATTCCTCTTAATTGATACTGGCACAAGCAGATGTGGGCAGATGAAATCATGGGGATCCCAACCCTAATTTCACAGGGGAGCAACTGAAGAATAAAACGCTTTGTACATTCATGTCGTAGAACTATTGCTATTGATGATAATGATGACATATTGTCCCTTCTTATTTTTTTAAGGTAGTGGAACAAGTAGATCTTAAACAGAAGTCAAATTCCCTTGGTAGTTTCCCTCTGTAACACGTTTGAAAATGAAAATGTCTGTGGTTATGAACTGGAATAGCTGTTAAACTGAAAATTTATGTCTATAAACCCAACATTCCCAATAGTTTTTGCTGCTTTATTTACTGTACTGTGAAATCATTTTTTCTTTCCAGCTTAGTAGCAACCACAGATCAAAGACCATTTGAACAGATGGATTTTCTGAACAACCATCGCCAGTGTTAATCAGAAACCATTGTTGATATGTAGAAAAATAACCAGTTGGCTTTTCTTTACAGTGCTTGAAAGAACTCAGTGAAAATGTCTGGCAAAACATCCGGCACAACAAACAACATAGCTCAGGCCAGAAGAACTGTTCAGCAGTTGAGAATAGAAGCTTCTATAGAAAGAATAAAGGTAAGAAGAACTTATTATTATTAGTTTATCTGCCTTATAAAGCAAAAAATCGGCATACAATTTGGATAAGAAAATAGGCTTCCAGGTGGAAAAATCAAAATTAGAAACAGAACTGTTAGAACCCAAAACTAAGATTTTGTCAAAGATGTATAACTTGCTGTTGAAATGGAATACTCAGGATGAAACGGTTAAATCTGCTATGATTAAGTGGGCACAAGATGTTGGACATAACATTATGATGGCTGACTGGGAACAGTTATGGACCACAGGTATGAAGTTTACGGCATGTAATGCCTTAAGAGAGAATATTATGAAAATGATATACAGGTGGTACATGACACCAGTCAAGCTTGCAAAAATCTATCACTTGCCCGATAATAAATGTTGGAAATGTAAAGAGACTGAAGGTACATTCTTTCACCTTTGGTGGACATGCCCAAGGATTAAGGCTTTCTGGGAGATGATCTATAATGAAATGAAAAGGTATATAAATATACCTTCCTGAAGAAACCAGAGGCCTTTCTCCTGGGCATGGTCGGCCAATTGGTGCCAAAGAAGGACAGAACTTTCTTTATGTATGCCACAACAGCAGCAAGAATACTTATTGCAAAGTATTGGAAGACACAAGATTTACCCACTCTGGAAGAATGGCAGATGAAGGTGATGGACTATATGGAACTGGCGGAAATGACTGGCAGAATCCGAGACCAGGGAGAAGAGTCGGTGGAAGAAGATTGGAAGAAATTTAAAGACTATTTACAGAAATATTGCAAAATTAATGAATGTTAGAATGATGTTAGAATGAAATTAAGTGGTCTTAGCAGCAATGTTATAAAGGTGTATGTACAAATGGATTGTTAACAGATGAGAATCTAAAGTTATAATATGTTAAGTTAAAGGATTAAGACAAAAACAAAGAGGGAAAGGAATTGCTGAATTAACTAATAGAACTGGAATACAAAAAAGGGAGGTGTGAGGAAGTCAGGGAAGTAAGGAAATGAAATGTAAGTAATGGAACGATCGATGTGTTTTTGTTTTCTTAAGTGTTTTCTATCTTTTTTCTGTATTTTGTATTTTTTTCCTTTTTATTTTTTTATATATATGTAATTTTTTCTTTGAAACTTCAATAAATATCATTTTAAAAAAATTTAAAAAAATATAAAGCAAAAAATCCTCCTTTCCCCCGCTTTTCCAGAGCACATCATCATCATCATTATTATTATTATTATTATTATTATTATTATTATTATCAACAGTAATTGAATTTATATACTGCCCTATACCCGGGGGTCTCAGGGCGGTTCACAGAATAAAATCAAGATATAAAACCACAAAAAACCTAATAAAAATCAAAACAACAACCCCATAGCCCCCCCACCCACCCACAAAAAACACATTTCTAAAAGGGTGTTGGATGTCAATAAGATCAACCAAAGGCCAAGTTAAAAGGGAACGTTTTTGCCTGGCCCCTAAAGGTGTATAATAAAGGTGCTAGGTGAACTTCCCTGGGGAGAGCATTCCACAGACAGGGAGCCACTGCAGAGAAGGCCCATTCTTGTCTTGCCACCCTCTGAACCTCTTGAGGAGGGGGCACACAAAAGAGGGCCTCAGAAGATGATCTCAGGGTCCAGGTAGGTTCATATGGAAAGAGGCGATCCTTGAGGTATTGCAGTCCTGAGCCGTTTAAGGCTTTACAGGTCAAAACCAGCACTTTGAAGTGGGTCCAGAAACTTAATTAGTAGCCAGTGCAGTCGGACCAGGATCATCGCATCACCATCTACTGTTAAGAACACGTTCCTTTAGTCTAGGCAGTCCCAGAGAGAAGCGATATCTTTCTCTTCATATATATTGGGATTGTGTTCACATATGTACAGTATGTGTGCCATCAGTGTGAATTTAGTGGAGAATTGTACTTAAAAAAGAATGCCACTGTGTGAAAATTGATGTACATACTGAGAAGAAATGTACACCAATTAAGAACACAAGGAAGAGATTTTGTTTATCGCCCAGTCAGTGCACATAATTTCCAGCAATACAGTGGGGAATATACAAAACATCTGACCATCGATTTATTCTTTCACATATTTTTTTATTTGCTGGTTTCTGCTGCTTTTAATTATTTTACAAAGACATGCAGTATTATTCTAAATCCACGTAAGGCTCAATCAACATGAACTTTTTTCTGCCTCGGGAATTTTTTTCCACACAAAACGTAAAAATATCACTTCGAAATCTCGTAAGATTTTGCTTGTTGGCTGTTGTTGGCAACCTGCTCCATATTTACTGTGCCCCTTCTCACACTTTCCTCAGGTGTCGAAGGCATCGGCAGATCTAATGTGCTACTGTGAGGAGCATGCCAGGAAGGATCCTTTACTAATGGGAATACCTGCTTCGGAAAACCCCTTCAAGGATAAAAAGACCTGCACTATCCTATAGGCTAAGCAGCAAAATGCCTTCAAGACCCTCCCCTGCAACCGAGCAGATCCTTAGAGAAGTAACCCGAAGGTTACCTGGTATCAGCCGCATAAAACAGCAACTCATTTACATTTTGTGTTAAAATGAACTTTTAAGTTTTCTAAAAAGGTCTCTTTTCTTTATCGCATTCTAAATGGGGATGCAAGGTTTATAAAGTTACTTCTTGTCAATGGAATGGTTCTAAGAGCATAGTTGGGAATTGGATTATGTTGGCTTTGGGGGTTATAAAGAGAGGGTTGGGTTGGGTTGGGTTTTACTTAAAAGTGCAATGAGTGTTCACAATTCCAGGTGTGAGGTTGAACAATCAAGACCAAAGTTGCCTGAGCTTCATTTTCTGACTAGTGAGGCAGACCAGCGTAGAGTCCTAATCAAGCTTACTTTTAACATTTTGATTTTATACCAGCGTATAGCCTTGTATATGTAATTGGTGTCTGTATCTATGGTCCGTGCGTATGTTTGTTTAGATATATACACGCATTACCAAGTGCATTCTTTAAGTACGCCCTTCAAAGTTTATTGCTGCATTTATCAATAACTCCTGCAGTTCATGCCTTTTATCATCAAGTATGTCTTAAGCTTTTTCACAATGTCTTAAGGACTTGTAGACTTGTACTTAGTATAAATTCTTGTTCTCAAAATGATTTTGAAAGGTGACATTTATAGCCTTTGGTTCTTCTGCCTTCTCGCATTTCCTCTGAAATTTAGACTGTCACACATGGATTCTGAAAATGGAGTCTAGATAAGTTTCTCCTTTTTCGTTGTGCTTTAAGGGGGAATCTGCCGCCTAACTTTCCTACGCACTTCCCTGTTGTGTTAATTTTTCGGTAAGCATCCAGGCTATTTTCTCTCTCTCATTGCTAAATTCATGTCTATCAAATGCCAAATAATATCCACAGAGGAGTGGGAGACTCTGGGTGCAATCCGTGGTGCTATTGCTTCTGCACAAGGCCTATGGAAAACACTGGTGGTTGTGCTGAGGAAATGCTTGAAAGGTTGCAGCAATGCACAGTACTAAATCTCTGATGAATGTAAATGGTATTAAAATGTTTGTGTAGCCTTCGTGTGTTGATGGAATACTGAGTGGAATGAATCAATATCAACTTCTAAACCCAGGTATGTATCAGTATTCTGTGCGCTGCCAGTCCTTTCATGTTTTTAACTTTGTGGTCTGCCATAGCTGTATATTTGCAGAATGTGTTAAACATTTGGGGTTCAGGGTTGTTCCATGTGCAAGGAGACTTGAGATGCATGGCTAGATACAACCTTAGCAGTTCTCAAGTAGCACAGAAAGCAAAGCCACTCAACGTTGTTTTTACAGCAAGGCCCAAAGGTTTCCATCTTTAGCCAAACTAAAGAAAAACCTCCCTAGTTGCAAAGAACTAGAATTCTCACTTTAAACTAACAGGAGTAATAGCTGGTTCGCTGCAGATGGGGGGAAGGACCCCAAAAGACCTGACTTCACTGTGACTGGATCCTGAGAAGCTGGCTCCAGAGCCAGCAAAGCAAGGTGCCTATTCCACTCCATAATGCTCTGCAATATATTAACTTGAAATTGCAGGAGCAAGGTCTTGCAGATTTCTGTCTAAAGGCAGATTTGGCCTTTGTTTCTTTTAGTACTGCTCTATAAACTTTCACACTGATTTTGCTTGCCATATACTTCAGTCTGCCCTCTCAAAAGGAAGGTATGTTTGTTGATAATATTAATTAATTTGACAGCAAATAATCTGTATTTGTGCTACCCATTGCAGCCATTTCACTTGCTACCCGAAACGTAGTTAATGGCTACTTCATCAAGAACCAGGATAACAGGTCCTACGAAACAAATACTCCCGGTTACACATTTTGAAATAGCGGCATTCCTTTCTCTGACGGTTTATTTCAAAATATGGTTTATTTCAAAATATAGGGCAGCTTTTGATTTGTGAGATACCCAGATCTGTCTTTCTAAAGGCTGATTCACACATCCATATTATTACATGGGCAGTCTCGCATTTTCTGTAGGCTTGTTCGCATTGAATCAGTCATGCCAGTACAAGCATGGGTCTGGGTCATGACTTTACTACATACGAAGATCTTTAAGAAGTGTGTCAAATGAGGATGCGGTGTCTTGCCATCTTAATAACCATTCATAGAACTAGTTCACCACCTACAAATCAGTGGGGGAAGCCATAAGTTGTGGTCTTTACCAATTTTTAAAACATACTGATTTGTATGGCTGTGCTGAGACGTGACAGGCACAGAAGCTGTGTCTCCACTACCATGTAATGTGAGTATTGTGTCTGTCTGGCATTTATTCCAAGTAAGCCTCTAGCAGCAACTCCATGTCTATTCAGACATACCGTATTTTTCACTCTATAGGACGCACTGGACCATAGGACGCACCGGACCATAGGAGGGGGAGAACAGGGGGAAAA